TATTTCCGGATCTCGCCGACAAGTCAGTCATTGCGAGATAAGTACTAAATGCTCATTTTGGAGGAATGGGCAGCACTTGTTATAACCTACACACCTAGTCCCACCCGATAGGCCAGTTTTACATAATTCAATTTACGTACACCTTTAATAAATCAGCTTATTATATTTCTTTCTTGCACGTTCGCCAACATACGTTATAGCGATAGAGATATGGGCATGAAGTCGTACTTATAATTGTGACGTTCCCATCTCATTTTCAGCTTGAAGTTAGGAGTTTTTTAAACTATTTAATTATATAGTATTTTCTTATCTTGCCGGCACATTACTACAATAACGATATTATGATACGCTTCCGTCGAAATACCTTTGATTTACTCTGCACATGACCACCGCAATGGATTTGTTGCGGGAATTTTAGTTCTATAAAATAAAGAGTAAACGGGGGCACACTTGGCAGACGTGCCTTTTATGCAGTTATTTAACGTTTATCAAAACATTTGAAACAAGAAGCTAAAGCAGTAGAATCACAACTACGTAAGAAACAGTATTATCTTTGGTGTTACACAAATAGCCAGTTCATAAACATTAGAATAATACCTTAATCTTCCGCGCTGACTAACTTTCATATGAATTCAGAGAAAAGCTGATTGTATACAGAGGTTTACGATAGCACTAACATTGCTAATATGACTGTGCGATGGACGCTTTCATAAACTAAATAGTAAGTCAAAACGAAAAAAAGAAATGGAAAATACAAGTTCCTTCCGCTGTCCCCTTGATGTTACAGAGGTAATGTGTTCGTCTGCTAAGGTTTTGATTGGACACGCCAGATAGCTTATTTTTAAAACCGGCCGTGAATACGTTTCGTTTCGTTCTGAGCTACAATTGCCTGAGGCATTACTTAGTGAAAAGCATCAGCAGTGGCTAGAAGTACTGATTCCGCTGTTCAGAAAACGCGGATAATTATGGCAGTGCACCGATAAAAAGAAAAACCTAAGTATATGCTAAATACATCAGAGATATGGGCAGTTTTAAGAGGTTGATAACTGTCTTATTATTAAAGTATTATAAGAAAAATGCAATGTAGGTTTCTTATTAAAACTTGCTTTTAAACAAATATTAGGCAGAACAATGACATTCTCGTATATGTTAAATATACTTTCCTCTATTAAAACCGGTGTTTTTCGTCTTCAACTTTATTATAAAAATCAACATTATAGTTACAACTTTAATATAATTATTATGAGTTGTTCGTGCTCAATTTCCCGAAACCAAATTCCATCTTTTAACGATAGATAATTTAATAGTTATGAAAAATTCCCGACCTATCGAATAACTCTGGAGAGACTATTGTTATCATTAAAATATATACAAAGATTGAAACAATATTGACGAAATTTGTAAACCTTTATTTTCATAATGGAGCTTCGGCCAACTTTCATTGAATCTATTGGAGACTGACTAAGTCGTCAACATAGCTCCATATGTATTTTAAGGGGCCTCCTATAGTGTCGGCTGCAAAAAGCTCTGCATCTAAGGTTAAGTTACCTACTTACTTGTTTTCTTGCAGTTAGCGAATAGTGCAAAAATCGATAGTATTAGACATTCCGTTTGTTACTTATGGCTTTTATAGGGTCAGCAGACCTCAGAGCAGAACTAAAAGTAACCTCTATTTTCAAAGCGTCGGTTTCTTTAAACAACCTGTATACAGGTATAAAAATACTTTAGATATAGCCGAAAAAAAATTCACATTTTCAATTTATAAAAGCATTTTAAGAACATTTTTTTAAATAATCCTAAAGGAAAGTAGTATATGTAAAGTCTAGTACAACTCATGCGCGAGAAAGTTGTTTGGTATATAAAGATGTCGCTCATTTCGGTACGTCATGTCGGCTTTAGCTTTCATTACACTCTTGAAGTCACTTAAAGGCGAATCTTAAAGCACTTACACGTCAGAAACATCATTGCCGGCATTTAGCCTTTTTTTTAAATCTTCACATTAAAAAATATGTAGTCAAAATCAGGGTAATCCACAAAGTAAACAGTTTTATTTTTTTTTAATACAAGAATACATTCTACTCTTAGAACTTTCATAACTGCTAGAACAACATGGCAGTTAGACCAGCTGATGGCGGAAGCTTAGTACCAATTTAATAAACAATGCAGCAGCTGTCGAAAACAGCGATGCAGCTAAAAATTCATCTTCGTCTGTATTGCGGGCTTTCTCTCCTATGTCTTCTTCGATGAATGCGAAAGAAAAGCTCGCAGGATTGGTAAATTATTTTTGCTATAACGTATTGTATCGCAATTGGTTCCTAGAAAAAGCATCGGGCACTTACATTTTATGATTGTTTCGTTCTGACTAGATTCCGTAAGAGTCAAGCATATGTCTTACCATTTTGCAGTTCTACTAGGAGAAAGGTGGAAAACATATGATGGGGTTCTTGTAATGTATAGCTTTTCGAGACATTCATTTAATCAACCATGTCTGATCAAACGACGGTTTTTCTATTTGCGCTTGTAGTGGCATCGCTTATGTCATTTACTTTCATCAATTTTGCTGTCACACGTTTCAAATGGATATAGGTATTCAGGATATAGAACAAAAATTTTCGATTCCGATTTTTATTGGCTCAAAGTATTACTTATTAAAATTTTGATTTAATCTCTTCTTCCTCTTACTAGGTCTAGTGTGAATTTTGTTTCTTGAATTATATTAGTATGGTGTAAGTCTACTACTGTATTAAATAAAATTCTTCGATACGTCGATAAACAGACGAGTTTGATAGACTCGTCTGTCAATAGTGCTTACTGGCGTTAACAGATATAAAGGTATTGTTAAAGCTATTTATTTAGTTCACTTCAAAAGCTGTATAGTGTTCAGTTTATTATGAAGTTGACTTTTTGTAGCCAGAGCATGATAGCAGCTGTTAGGCATGACAACGGAACGGCGTCTAACATTGACCACGACCACGAACGCGCAATTTGTGGCGACCTTTCGCTCTATGGACCCAAAATGGCCAGCAATAATTTTACGATACAGCGCCGTTGTATCGTCCGGCTGTTGTACAATCGTTCTCGCCACTGCAGCCGCAGCGATCGTTTATGGGGCATCACAAGCTACGAGAGTAACGACGCAGATAGACCGGAGGACTAACGGATGTAAGCTTATACATAAGACGATGTATATACAACGCATACCCACAAAGACGCATGCAGGCGGTCGGCAACACACAACGCTACGTACCGTCGCTTTGCTGACCAAGTGGATGCTGCAGTCAGACAAATATGAGGGCCGGGGTTCGCTCAGGGAAACTGCTGTTCTAAGCACTGCTGACGCGATAGTTGCTGCTGTTGTTGTTACTGCAGCCACATATTCGCCGGAAGAAAGGAAGTTTCAGCTCGTCGCAGCTACGATGCTTTGTCGTTGTTGGCGTTGTTGGTGCTGATTGTAGACGTTGTGGTAGGGAAATGGTTCAGGCGATGGCAAACTTATATCAGCGGTAGTTACGATCTGATGGTGTTGGTGACGTGCCTAACACTTACTGCTGCTCCTCCTCGTTGTTGGTGTCGCTGATGTCAGAGTCGCAGTGGTAAAGCCCTGGTGGCTTTGCCCTTCTTCAACTGCAGCTTTTTACCGTTGTTCTCTTGCAGCTGACAACGCTGGCATTTTCGGCGTTGGTATCTGCTAGTGTCTGTATGTGTCTGTGTTCTCCGTATTTGTGTGTGTACTTGTGGCCGCAAAAAAGTCGCACGTTGCTCCAGGAAGTAATGTACGATGACACCGTAACAGCGGCAGTGGTAGCAGCAGCTGTGGCTACCGGCCGCTGTAGTAGTTGCCGAGTTGTTGCCGTAGCTGATGTTCGAACTAGAAACGTGGAACAACGTCCGTCAAGAAATGGTAGTAGCTAACATCTGCAATGTGGTTCTAACCATGAAGAGATGAGGAGTTCCCGCAGCACTTTACGTCATAAAGGCGATCGCGAGACAGCGGCCATCGACAGCAACGCAGCGGGGGGCAGCGTCGCCGACATTGCCCCAAGCGGTGGTGACAATCGTAGCAGTAGCAGACGTCGAAAGGGAGAGACAGGGAGAGATCATAGTTAGTGGTGGCTGTAATGGCCTAAATGGCACATGCCTGCCACCGGCCCCTACAGTCATCAGCAGCACCATAATTGACATAACCACGACGACCAACGAACCCCACAAAGACGGCGACGACCAGCGCTCGAAATGATTTAGAAGTCGCCGACCCGAACCGGAAGAGCGACGCCATCGACCATCAGGAGGACACTATCAGTTGACGTCGGCAGCAAACAACTCGTAGCCGCAGCGGCGGCAACAGTTGTCAATACTCACTTCTTAAAGACAGGGCCCAAGATCCATCAATGTGTTGACATGTGGCTATGCGATTGTGAATCTATCAAAGTCAAAGGCTTGCCGCAAATGTACAAAATATACGAATACGTATCCGTGTAGCATGTGTAAGTGTGTGTATTGAATTGATATAATACGGCTAGTACGTTAGATACTTTAAAACAGTGAAGTAGATTTTGCTTGTTGTAATAATGTAGCGAGCGTCAAACACCTTTAGCAACCTTGACGAGCGTCAGGCAACCTTGCCAATCGATCATTTAATCTGGGCAAGTAAATACTGCTTTCTTGGCGTAATTCATTGTAAAAATGTCTCTCCAGGAAAACGATGATTGCCGACTTTTCTGTTTAAATACAATGCAATAAATAGAATAAAAAAATAATGAAAAGATAAATAAATAAAAGGAGGCTAACAGTAAATAAAATATACTCATTTCAGTCGTGTGAAGGCAATGTTTAGCTTCGTTTGCTAACTGTAACAAACAATGCATGCTTTAAAAAGTTTTGGCCATCCATTTTATCGGGACTAATGTTTTCCCTTTTGTCCTGATCTTAGAAAGATCCCGAATACCTCGTACTATGGTCACGATGCTATCTAATGTCTAAACAGTGAATACACTCTGAAGTATACCATTTTGGTGTTTTATTTACTGGCAACCAGCAGGAGGCCAAAAACACAGCAAATAAATTTAATATAATATTAATCTTAATAATTATTATTAAAATAAGGAAGCACTATGTACAACAGAGCGCGTTCTGGCCAGCAGAACACCCGATGGCTAGCGGCTCCTTTAGCCTTCGACGCGCGCCGCGCCCCATACGCCTGAAGGCGCGCTTGAAGTTGAGTTAGTCAGTACTGAGTTCCAGACGCTAGGGCGCCTCACTGCGAGGTGAGGAGGAGGTCGAGCTCGGAAAAGCAACACCCGCCCCCTAGTGCCAAAATCCAAGAAAGATATCGGGTCAAACCTTGATTATCATTCGTCTGCAGGAAATTACACTTGATTAAGGCTAGGAGGTAGGGAGTGCGTGAGGTGGTTGTGGAGAATATCGTACGGCAAGGTAAATTTCTCGAACAGGCTAAACAGACGCTTTTTTAGACGTCTTGCTGAGTAATGCATACTTTTCAGATTCCACTGAAGAACTTCTTAATCGCTTTTCGTGCTGGATCCAATTATATACCTTTCATCCTGACCCTTGATATAGTTCTTATAGTAGAAGTCCGAGAAAAGACAGGTGAAGAGTCCAGCTTCAAGCACCATCAGTGATGCCATGGTCTTAGGAAATCCGCAGTCGAAAATAAATGGCATCAAGCCGTGCACCATAAGCGCGAAGAACTGTGCAATTTGAAACTGTGTCACGTACTTTTTCCACCAGAGGTTGGGTTTCACCGAAGACGGTAGCGCTGCAAGACCATAATAACCATACATAACCACATGTACCGCCGCATTAAGAATAGGGAACATAGCGACTTGTCCTGTAATACCGTTATTGATGTCCATCCATACGGTGCCTAAAGCAAGAGAGTGGTGCAGTAGGTGAAGAAAAGAGATATGACTGTTTTTTTTTAAAAACACGAAGAATACTGTATCTAGTAGTTCACCAATTTTTGTGAGCATATACCACCAGCCCCAGTATAGAAGCACCGAGTCAGTCGTCGACGTCGCCTCGCACACGACGTTGTACGGTCCGATTTCCTGGCCAACGTAAGTTAACTTTAAAGTGAGCACACAAAAGAACAAACTTAGTCCGACCATAATCACGTTGTAAGCCAGCACGATGGGCCTTATATTGAATGCCTCGCGGTTTTTCATCAGACGTGGCCCCAGTGAAGTGCAGAAATATAGATACGAGGCAAGAATCGACACAACGATAACTGGAGAGCCCATCATTGGCCAGTCACGCGTGCGTGGATCGCCCGTGCTGAGTATCAATCCAAGATACGAATAATCGGGCTCTGGCACCGTTGACGACGCCATCTCGCAACGCCCGCTTTACACGTCTATTGCTCTTTAAATTCTACGATGTGCTCCCGGCTATACTCACAATCTTTCGAAGACTGCAAACGAGTCCACCGCGGGGTTCGGGGTCCGCGTGTCGGAGCTCCAGTGACCAGAGTCTTTGCTAGTCCAAGGGGCTTATACCTTACGGCATCGCTGATGGGAGGGGCGCCGGCGAGGGCCCGCGGTAAGGGGCCAGCTGAAAAAGGACGGATTTCGCTTTGGACCCAGACCATCAACGAACGGATGGCTTAGGCTGCGGGTCACATCAAGCCAAGGTCAGAAAGCTGCTTCCCAATACGACGTTCTAGCTGGCCAGTAGAATCTTGTGTTTCCGGATCAGCTGCTATAAGGATGCACCGACATTTCTCTGCCTTGCGATTTCAGAGCCGCGCGCTAAAGCTGCAGTAACACCAAGCTGCCTATTGCACATTGTCGTTACCATTACCCTAACGCAAATGATGACAACTGCGAGGAAAAATGTGAGAAATTATGGCATGTTGGTTATTTGACAGAGCCATTATTATCATCACTATTATTGGCATCAGCAGCAGAGGCATCCATTGTTTTTATCAGTGAAAATGTACGCACTGGGATACGTGATCAAAAGGCCTTTGCGTGCATTCACTAAAGAGGTACAGCAAATTTATCACTTGATCATCTTGATTAGAATCTCCAACAACGTTAGTGTTTTGCTTTACCCTGATACTCAGGTACCTGATTCGGTATACGAACAAAAGGCACATTACAGTCATATTTAGTCTTACTAATTCGCTAACAGGCTTATTTTTTGAACTGGGAACAAAAAAGTTATGAATTAGCTTACATAATTGTTGAGCCTTTAGTCCCTTTTCCTTCTAGACCCCTTAGGTATAGAAGTTTGTCGAATTTTCTATAAACATAGAAGTGTTTCGTGTAAAATCTCTGTGAGAAATAATTAACGTCGTTTTGGATAAAATAAATCCCAAACTTTTTTTTTATTAATGTGAACGTAGTTCAAAATAGAAAAGGCATCTTCTTTTAACATAATTCGATTTATTGGATGTCGCAATATTTTCTTCTAGCGATAACAGCAGTCATAATTTCGATCTCAACCAATGATGTTGCAAATTAAAAAAAGAGAACAATGTCAGTACTTTTTGTTTTCGTTTCGCAACGTAGTCTTCGCTCAGGGCAAAAATTTCATCCCGTGATAGTTTAGCGGGTAAAGTGTTTGCCAAGTAATCTTTGTAACGCGTGGCGATCTAGGTTCGAGCCTAGGCAAGAACATACTTCATCCCCCGGTGAGAGCCAGGCGGTTGACGGAATGACTGACAGCGATACCGAACGTGACACAGATCCAAACACAGAGAGACCTATGAAGCTATCAGAGCAATTTTTCGATGAAATTATGAGTATCACATAGATTCATCTTGTTTATAGGAATAACTATTAATAAACTCAATTTCAATAATAATGTCATAATATTGTTTATGTCTACCTCACTTCCACATAATTTATTTGCATCTAATACATATAAAGATTTCTATTTTTAAATGAGATATAATACTGTAGAGATATGCTTATTCATGATAGTCACCAGTCCCTTGACATTAAGTCAGATCTGCCCGGCTAGTGGCAATCTCCATCTTCGCATAAAACACGCGGCTTCGCAAATTCAACTGATTCAATCAGAGTGCAGCTTATGAAAAGCTATCTCGCACATGATGAGGTCGTAATCATCGATTACGAATACATAAATTAGATAACGGTTTTTTTTCTCTAAGAATGCCTTCAGTTCGTTTGTTTTAACCCGTTGATTAGTGGTCGATAATTGAGAAAAGATATATATCGATATCATATATTTCATCTTTCTTTACCTTGATAGAATAAACATATACTTCAGTTCTATCGAGATCGGAGGTCCTGACCATGTCCTTTATGAAGCGCGCCGTTCCTTTTAGCAAATATAGCACAGCTTGTATGCATTGACATCGAGCCTTAGTACACATTGCAAGTAAGCAGGTCTCACTACGAAGTAATGTCAAATTATTTGCAGAAACGCTTCTAGATCGCTTGTGTGTTGTAAATCATCTTGGGCATTGGTTTTTGGTATGGCTTAGGAAGCGAATACAAATAAAATCTGGGGAACCGGTGCTGACACTGACACTACTAAAACTTGCTGTACTCTTTTCGTTTACATTCTGGCTGAAATTGCAAATTCCCAATCAATTTTCAATTAATAAAAATGTTTCACTTTTTTTCAATCATAGTCCATTTCTATTTAATAGTACTTCTTATTTTCTGACCTTTATTTTATTATTAATGTTCTTCGCGACTACCGCAGTGATTGGGTGAGCAGAGACCCCTAACTCATAAACGACAAGCATTATGTCGGTTGCAATAACCAATTTGAAGTCACTGACCTATTCAAAGGTTTATTTCCTTAACATTAGCACACCGCGCAGCTACGTTTTACGAGTTTGAATATTTAGCATAAGCTTAATATAAAAATCCAAGCGATCTTTGCCGTTCCACGGGTTCAGGCCTTAGAAAAAGTATGGCTGTTGAGAGTCTCATAAATGTTATCATATAGCCAATATTTACAAGTTTAGACGGCATGTACGGGGTCATCCGACTTGGGCAGATGAAACAAATAATTATACAGACATACAATTTAAAATTGACAAAGAAAACAAAATAACATCGTATACTTGATATCTACCATTTAAAGGAGTTGGCATAATACACAGTATTTTTTCTTTCGTACGTCCAATAGTCTACATTAAATGTTATTGGGGCTAAATTTTATTGATGACATGATGACAGAATCGTCTGCTACAGTAAGTGTAAATAATAATTGTATAGTATTACAGAAGTTATCGAGATGACATTAACACAATGCATAGTTAAGATCGCTCTTTTTTAATAATGTGCTTATCCACTGCTACTTTAATATATGTGAACTGAAAAGTTCGGCGAAGAGACCTTGATGGGAACTTGGGTTCATATTGTGAAGATTACTTTCACCACGCGGACAATCCGTTTTTCTGATAACCTGAACTTGCTAGTAACGGTAGCCGTTGTTCGTTGAGCGCCCTAAAAAGAGCAGCCTGCTTTATTCCGGTCCTCGCTGACAGTGATTCGACGTTTCTATGCACGTTACTGATTACCATTTTCTCTATACACCATTCAATATACATTCTTTGCAAACAGTAAGAGACTCATAGCAGATACTATCCTGAATCAGCGAGGTTCATTTTGGTGGAACATTAGTAGCTTTATTATATGTGAACAAGTTTTCGGAATCATCAGTTTGTAGCTATAGTATCAAGAACTTGCCTTCGTCTTAAAAGTCCAACTCGGCAGGTGGGTCTTGTTGGTTTTATCTGAGGTTTCTCGGAAAGTCTTATAAAACAGCATGACAACCAGACAAGCAGCAATCAATTTTAATTATAATAGTATCTAACTTTACTCAATTCTTATTTATCTGATTACTGACATTCGGTATTCATTTTTTCTAATGTTGATGCAAGATACTTGTTAGTAATATATATATATATATAAGGTAAAAATATTTAACTAAGAAGATGATTTGGTATGAAGAGTGACCTTCCTTGGTTAGTATTTCTATGTTTAGTCCTGTGTTTATACGTGCGATTTCTTTGTAACGGTGTAGATTAATATTTAAATTTGGCAAGCTAATAAGTAAGTATTTATATTTAAGTAACATTACAAATGGACACACTCGTTGAATTAACTTAGGCAGTTTTGTTTTCGTTTGCTTTGGCGTGCCTTGTTGCGAAAATTACATTATCCGTGTAAAATCCAAACTGGATTGCCCATTCAAAGTAAATGAACTAAAAAAAAATATATGCAGCTTGGCGTCGAATTTAATCTATATTTATTACTTTTATGATGTAAAATCATTATACAGACGCAGATATTGTCAATGAATTAGTCTTTCTTCTTTCAGTATTCGAATTAACTATTCCTTCAAGCACTCATTCTTTTTAGTGAGTCATATCTATTCGTGGTGTATATGGATGATGACCTTAGGGTACCAGCTGACTGACTTTGCTACATCAATTTTAAATTGTTAGAATCATTCCCATCATAGGTTTTTTTTGCAATTAACATATGTTTATAACGATTCTACACATATTTGCAGTGGAGGTATGTAACCAAAAGAGATTCACTGTTTTTATAAGCTGTTCCATCTATGTAGTTTATGTAGGTATGTGGTTTTTTTTATGAAACATGCATCTTTGCGCTTCGTAGTAGTCTGTTCTGTGATTCGGTGTTTACTGTTATAATGCATAGAACTCTGTGATAGAACTTTCTTAAAATCGTGATATATAGATTAATACTGTTACTAAGTAATTAGACAGCCAAGTACCTATAGCAATTGTATAAAAGTATGCAGTTTTGCGAAATCTTAATAAATAAGGAATGTCACATTGTAATTGTTAAAGCATGAAAGCTATAGAATTAGTCCAGAGAACCATAGATGGGTTATTTGGGCATATCATCGATTGTCTAGAAACGCTACAAAGCCGCTTATGGACAAATAAACAGTGGCTATTCGGTTGTTTCAAGTAACCCCAAACAGTGCTAGACAGCTCAGGTAAAATTCTTCCAATAAGTTGGTGTCCCCTGGTATTTTAGCAATCTGTGTGAAATTAAGCGTCACGCTATATATTTACGTGGCTATTCTTATGGTGGTATGGTTAGACGTGGATGGTGATTTAGGAGCCAATAAAGAATACGATATCATTAGATTTCGTAAAAAATCAAAATAGTAATCTAAAATTTTCTTATTATCTGTATTACCAATTTGGAAGTGGTCAAGCTTATTTACAATACCTGTTCGTTATAATCATAGTTTGTTACATCATCAGCATGCGACCTGTAGACCTTTAGCCAGAATTGTATTAAATATTAAAATTGCCGTGTCGCATTTTTCTCATTCACCACGTTTGGCAACCTTCGCCTTGTCTAAAGTGTAATTTACACATCATATATTAGCGTACTTCTGCACGTCGCTCAGTGGCTATCAGTCTGTCTAACAGCTATCTTCAATAGTATTGGCCTTACCTTTCTTTAAATCCGTTTAAAATTTGAGAATCTCCAAGATTAACGCAGCCGTGAAAAAGACCCCATAGAGGAATATCAAATACGCGCCGAATTCCCGTCTTGAATGAAATCCTAGGATTAGCATGATTGCCATTGTGGAGATTAGCGATTGGCAAAGTGTTGAGTACATGAGCCCGATTTTCACATTGTAGTCCAACTGCAGAAATGGACAAAAATGCAACAGAAAGCATCCATTAGCATTTAAGTATCAACTTGTTATTTAGGCTTACTTTCAGACAGAGGATTGTAGTCCGACCTTAGATTTCTGAGCCTTTGTTGGAAGCAAATAAAAACTTATTATTAATTGACCTAACTTAGAAGTGTAGTAAAAGCAATATGTGTATTTTACACAGCAGGTGTGATTAAATGAAAATGGCGAAAAATATATGTATATATATAACTAATCGAATATTACTTTGCCTGTAGTACCACGCATGGGCAAAGTCTAACAGCGGTATAAAAACCAACAATAAATGGATACGAGCTTGGTCAGAGTAATAGCTGTGTAGAGGGCTTGATCACTGAAGCTCACTTAACACAAATACTTAAAACTCAAGGCGCGGACTGAATACAGTTGGCTCGTTATTTTTCCATTGCAAATATTTCACGAACGAGTTTAAATAGAATTGTCGATAGGATATCTAGAAATAATATGGGGCTGATATTAATATTTTTGTACATTTGCATACTCAAAACTCGTTGCTATCCTGTAATAGCTCATTCCAGGCTTACTAAAAAATACTCCACTTTACCTACGGTAAACTTTGCCAATCTAACTTTCTAGAGATAACTTTTACTGCCGCAAGGACAAATTGGTATATATGTTAGAAATCAGAATACTTTGCCAGCTGAATTGAGTACATATTTTATTTATTAATCTGTTGTTATCTAATAATTTATTTCTTCAACTGTGTCCTGTCGATAGCCGTTCTTTTCAGTCTTATGCCAAAAATCTATGCAAATAACTGATGCGTTATGTATGATTGTTCCCTTCACTATTTCTTGATAAAATTTTTATCAGATTGGGATGTCATGCTTTATGAGCATGGCTATGTGGCCGTATGAGCACATTGTCTTTACGCGATGTCGCTCGCGGTCGTCGCCCTTTTACTTCGTTTGTTCATAGGCAAATGGGCTGAATTCGGCTGCGATAAGGCTAATCGCTGTCCCTTTTGCATTGAGTAATCAATGTGAACGAATGACGTTAAATTTCATTCAAATAAGGATTCAGGAACTTGAGTGTTCGCATGAGGTCCGCACGCGCCGCCTACTTAATCGAGTAGTCTTGTAGACTACCTCTGGTTTGCAGGCAGGCAAATGTGCCAATTTTTGCCTATTTCACTACTGTCAGAGGCGTGTGTCTCTTGTGAATCGAATTTGTATTGCGTCGATTGCGTCTTATGTTTCTGCTTTGGGATAATCCTTGTCCATAGTATACTGACAGCTCTCTCGTGTTAATAGTTTTCGCAGCCGCTGATGCTAAACCCTTCAATTCTGCAGTAATGACTTGACCACTCATTGTTTACGCTTGCAGTCCAGAGATTCAAGGCCAGACTCAATTGTGTATCCGAAGCATGATTGTCGGATTGATTATTGTGACTATTATTGTCATTACCATTAATATTATTACTCTTATTATTAATTAAATTAAGTTTCGCAATCTCTCTAACATATGCCAACCGTTCCGCTCCAGCTATTATAGATTATTTTCTTCCATGACTGCTTTACACATGATACTGGCATAGGTTTGTTCCGACTCGTCTAGCCAACTGTGTTTGGTAGTTTTTTTGTTTACGGTCAACGCTGTGTTCAATTTTTATCTGCCTAAATGTTTTAAGTTTGGTACAGCCTTTCAGTAGCGTTGCCTCAGACGGCTGGTTCCCACCACGAAACGAGGTGTGCCTGACTGCGTCCGGTTTCAAATCTGTAAACGTGAGGTGACGTGCCCTTTAGTTTATTGGACAAATATATTTCTACCTCATCACCGCGAATACTAACTACTAACTGCGTGGGATATCGTTTATTTCGCCTTCACATATACTGTCCTATATTCGCTGTCGTTTTACATCGGCTTGCCCGAACAAATTTACTAGAGGACAAAAAGAACTCTCTCTAGCGTCCCCACTTTATTTATTATTATTTTTGTTTAGATACGTAGTTATTCGTTCAATCCATTGAGTTGTAGTTGTCTTAATATCCTCGTGCAATTTTCCCACTAATCCTTTTGCACACAACACTTTGGTTTTCTGTCTCGCTCTTTTTTGCCTTTGATTAGCTCAATTAATCTGAGTCGCTTATGTTACACCTAGAATATAACGTAAATTGTAAGTCTAATACACATAAGCAGTTCTCCCCCTTGCAATGCCGTGCTCTACTTGACTCGTCACTTGTTTACTCTTTAACATAAATAAATACCCACTTTAACATAAATTAATTTGATCCACGTCACATGTAGCTTAACATAAACTATAGTTCAATCATAGACTTCTTCTTTTACACTTAACCGGTTGCAACCTTTTTAAGATCGTGTGACGCCAGTTTCGTGCATACCGTTTCTTCACTTCAATTAATCCGTTTTCCAAATTTTTTTGCTAACCTTGTGAAGTTCAAAAAAGCTAAACTATCAAATATAAACAGTTCGTCTATTCTAAACAGTTGTTATATAAACTGCAACAAAAGGAGAAAAAACTTTGCATACATTGCTGTTACGCCCAATGAGGGTAAAAAATTATTTTTTAGAGGTAAATATGTATCCATTTGAAGAGTATAATCCATATGTTGAAAATAACGTTTCATGTGATTAATTATGAACCACTGCGGTAAAGGTTTTTATTCTAACCATTTTATGTCAGTGGTAGAAATGAACAAAATAAAAAAAATCTATAGTTGTGTTTATTCCGTAAATAAATAAGCAAACCTTCAGTGTTTTCACAAATTCTCGACGGCTGTCGAGCAAATCCAAAATATTTAACTAACTGCAATCTTTATCACGCTTTATAAAAAAATGAAACTTCCCAGAAACTATTTATCCAATTGGTTTCATCATAGAATTGACCTTTACTCCTGTTGATTTTGCCCTGAGATATAAAAAGATAGTCAACTCTAATATATATATATATATATAGAATTGCCCGCAGACTTGCCCCAAGTTAAGTATAGTTGTTGTTTAACCTAAGGTAAAGTTCGGATCAATGTTGCTCGTAATAATCTTATCATTGCACATTGCGTGCGAATTCATGTCAGTGACTTGCGTATAGCTGTTGGAGCAACCCCTTTCGATTACGCCAGTGCCCGTCTCCTACGAATATAATGTCCTTACGGTTACCTCGAAATCGAAAGAAAACTGCACCTGCGAAACTAATATAAGATTAAGCCATTTATACGTAATGTTGATTTGTTTGGTATACTCATACAGAATGTTCAAAATAAGTACGGATAACCACCAACAAAGATGCAAAAAAACGACAAGACTGCGGAATGAAGTCACCGTAAGAATCCGTACAGAAATCAACGACAATTACCTGTTATATATTATATTACTTGATTATTTAAAAATATCTTCACAAGGCAGAACCAGTGTGATACCGGTAATTCATAACTGAGTATGTCACTATTTAGTGTTTGTTTTAAAGCCTTGTGTAAATCTTGTAAGTGGCCATTGAGCTTTGCTTTTAGATATCTGCCATGATAATGTGGGACTTCAGCGAGCCGGTTTTCTAACTGTAATGATATCTACGAAAGACCGAGAGTCGATGTTTATTCGACCCTGGACAAGATTCGATTTATTTATTTGTCGACCTGCAAAAAAAAAGTGTCGTCGATCTATAGGTGAGATCGGTACGTCACAGATTGGTTACAAGGTACGCGCACTGGATTGGATCATTTTTCATTAGCTGATCTTAATGTTTACTTGAATTATGAATGTAAAGCGTGTTGCATAAACTCAGCTTAGTCTATAGTACTTATATAGCAGGTAATGTACTGAAATATGTTTTGTACGCATTTTGAAGATGGCTTATACTGTAAGAATTATCACAGGAAACGTTTGTATAATGAAAATACAAGAATTTTCTATGGGTGAAAATTGAATACCCGGACAAAAGGGATTTCGAAACAGCTGCTGTATATATAATGGCAGAGTAGAGTAAATTCTCTATTTAAAACCAAGTGTTAGTTATATATACATTATCCATTCGAGGCTTATTGTATTCATCATTCCAAAATAATGAGATCACAATAATTAAATATGGTCCACAAACAGTCAAAGTTATTTATGATTTCGATTTTTACGAGAAATGACGAATGAGATGAAATGAGAAATGAAAGAGCAGATCTAAATTTTGAGGCTTCAGCATGACATTATAGGATAAACGGCAATCTCTGCTTTCTCAGGCAAAGCATAACCGGTGCTTGCCGTGCTAATTTTTGAATCTAGTTAGTTACATTAAGAAGATTAGTCGAGAGAAGATCATGTGTTGAGAGGATTTTTGGGATGCAGTACGACAACATAGACATCAATTAAGAAAATTTATTTTTAATATTACACTACTTTTGCTCCTTCTAAGGCAAAAAAGCTTCGCTGGGACACCCAGAGGTGCGATTTTTAAGAGAACTGGTATTTTCTATGACTTCTTTACTGTTTAAGGGACATGGAGAGCTAAAAAAATTATGTATACTAGAAAATGTGTCACAAACTAAAAAATCTTTTGATTTTGATGTCAAAATACTTGTCACGCATTTCTTAATGACACGACCCTCAGGCATTTACGGTTCAAAGCTTATTTGTTCGTGACAATCTAGGAAAACTTTCTATAGAATACAATGCTAAACTGTAATTCGGTGTGCGTGTGGTGGCTTTTTGGTAGTGTTTGGGCAGCTCAAAACAAGTTCATTTCACTGAAACTAAAAAAGTAATAAGGAAAGAATAGACGAACTGTGACCAACTTGCACGGTTAGATAAAAAAAAATCGACCTTCTCAGCTTTGCCAATATTCATGAGCCAGGTCTCATATGATATCACTTAGAGCTAGATATAACCGTTATCTGTCATATGCAGCCTTCTATACCTACTCAATCGGTTTCACGCTTTTTATAATACTCTATAGTTGACAAAATATCCATATATAGTACATAGCGCTTACGTTTGCAATGTACAAAAATTGATTAGCTGTATTACTTTGGATCTAATTCGCGTCCATCGAGTGTCTCCCGTATAATCTCAATTGGAAGACGTGATCTGGCCAGCTAATGCGTGCCTCTTCACATGCGTTGCCATAACTATAGGCAATTAAGCATGTACCTACCAAGCTTCCAATTTCAGCGTCGGTAAAGGAACGTTGGTTATTACTACAGTGGGTCATTACAGAGGGTTTTGTAGAAGCCCTCTGTAATATATATATATACCATATGTATAAAAGCAAGCAACCCTTTTTAGAAGGGTTGCTTGCTATACGCTTATCACGATGTTTCATAGGTGTGGTGGAGAAACCTCAACTAACGCCGACAAGAGCCATCCTGGTTAAACCCTTAGTGAAAGCAAGTCCTTAAAACTATACATAAGAAAGTGATTTCGAGGATTCGTTTCTAAGACAAGAATAACCGAAGGCCTTAAAAAAAGTAAGTATATAGTCTCAAGCAACTACGAAACCACGTAATGCATGCTCTCAAGGTTCTAGCGTCAGAAGGTCATTATACGAGAAAAAATTAGAGAGGTAAATCAGTGAGCACTTGCAATGGACCACAAATTTATCAATAAAAAATTTCTAGAAGACACGGATGTTGTCGCTAAATCGTTTTTAATGTCTCTGAACTTAACGCGCATTTTTTTCATTACTAACGCAAGCAACAAACAATCTTCAGCAGATGCGTTATACTGTTGGCATAGACAAGGGTAAAATTATTGCTGAATTTCAAGAGCTCGTTGCTCACGATAAACCCTAAATTATAGGGAAGGTCTTGCTAATTACACGGCAATTTGACCCGCAAATTTATTTCCGCAAACCATTACGTTCGCCGGTAACAAAAAGTATGGTAGTCAGTCATTAGCTAAGGCTATTGGTTAAAATGATAAATCTAGTATTTACAAAGTGCATAAAAGCATGTTTTTATTTGGATAACATTGTTGGGAAGTTACTTTTGTATTCGTTAACTTGTTATAAGTGTTCGACATAGAAGATTAAAAACGCAGGTATCACAAGTTTTCATTCAGTACGTATCATAAAACAGAGAAAAAACAAGCTTACTGGTATGATAGTTACTCATTGGGGATATCATTACGACCTTACGGCGGCGCACTCGAAGATTCTATTATGAATTCACTATTTTATGAACTTTGTTAAGCACTGTTTAAATTTACTGCTTATCAGTAACTTCTGCATTAAAAATAAGAACTGGATGTACATTAGCATGAATAAAATAAGAGTTAACCTAAAGATAAAATTTACTTCTAAAATCATAAGTGATCTCATATGCATAAAACCAAGAGTGCCAGATATATATATATATACCATATGGTATATATATATATATATACCATATTAGCTGACATTACATTTGTGTTTAAATACATTTGCCAGGCATCGAGAAAGTCTGCCACTAGACAAGGAACGCAAAACCCACTTCTGCAAATACAAAAAAAAGCCATGGGGAGAACACCCATGTACCTCTTCGTCCAGCTACAGAATAATTGCCTAGAGTTTGGAGAAGAGAGAGCAAATCTTACAGGTAAGAAGTGGGACATCCGAAATTACATGGCAGGCCTTGCGTTGTCAATGCTGCCGACATTCCTAAGCATTTCCCACAGGTTTTGTAATAATTAAAATTATTATTATTGTTTGAAATACAATGCAGCTGTACTTAAATGAAGGCATAGTGTGGATTAACGCAAACACAAAATGCTCACGAGCTACGGCTCGATAGAAGCATTCACTGTACCAATTTGATCACTATGTACAATTTGGCACTATAGATAAGACATGTAAACTATTCATGAGATTTTTCAACCACAGTTGGGAGTCCGACAAGATATCTTTCAAATGATTATTTTAAATAACCAAAATATCATACATCTGTATTGCTGATGTTGCAGAGGGCAAATATGAAAACCTATTAAAAGGTTTTTATTATTAACTATAACTATAAGTTCACAAAACAATCACTACCAATGGGATGTCTCGTGACCCTCAGTCAATATCAGAAGTCAACTGACAAAGTACACAATTTTGACGTATCTAGCAAGCAAGCTAGTGCGCCTGGCTGGCGCACAGGCATTCGGAGTCTTACTATTTCGAAGAGATTATACGTAATTAAGTACATATTCTTCTGACTGCAGTACTGTCATATCATAAGGTTTTATGCGTATTATTTACCATTTGTTTGAAACGCAACATGTTAATTATACAAATAAAAATGACTTTATTCACACAAATTGTGTAATATGTGTCTTGGGTTATATGGAGTAATACAAATATGTGATATAAAACGTAAATTTGGCTTTTAAAAGAGTTCTTAGTGAATGTATTCACAATATTTGCAACACTAGGCAAATATAAGTAAAATAAATTAAGGTGATACTTTATTAATAAAGAAATTATTATAAATATATTAGGCTATATTAAATAAACTTGTGAGATCGGTTAATTTCATCCATAATTACAATAGTACAAGATATTCAATATGTGTTAGTCTAGCTTTCTTATACAAAAATTTAATTTTCGAGTTTCTAATCTCCTTTATCGGAATTGAGTGAGATATCCATACAGTCAACTGGCCAAGAATATATGTAACAGTTGGAAAGAACAGCTGTTGGTTTTTTGGTTTTTTCCTACTAGACCTACTAGCGGTTTGAAGTAATGCTACTTAACTAGAACAGAACCGAAAAACAAACTCAAAACATTTATTCATCACGTACTCACCTTAGAATCGGACTCTTTATCTGTCAGCAATATCCAGGTGTAGGGTAGGCCAAAGCCCAATAATAGATCTAAATAGAAAGAATTACAGGCATGCATTAATTTGTTATCGTGTATTCATATTGTTCAGATTGACCTGCAACTTTTGATGGCGCTGTGGGAGGCGATGGCAGCATAGCGGCTGGTAGGCGGAAATTGTGAAGTCAAAATATGTGGTTTCGGCATGACATAGTTAATTATTTATTTTATTATCATTATTAAAAAAAATTAGTTAAAATAAGAAAAATTATATTAAGGCAAAACGGGGGTTGAATATCCGTGTAAGAATTCATTTCATATTAAGGCTAGCAGGTTCAAGGTCGAGTGCCTATTAAGAAAGAAGGGGTAAGAATGCAAATATTGTTATGCTAACCAAATCAAGTTTTAGTCAAGCGTCAATATTCATGTAATTTTTTCAAGGATATTCAATCTATAACTATATTCAATCCATAATGAATATCAAGTGGTTCTGTGCTAAAGAACTTTTATCTTTTTGGTTTTTTGATTTGATTTGTTAAGTTTTTTGATACACTTATGCTTTAAAATGGTTGCTACCCGGTTAACAACCGTCACACTCGAGTTATATTAAAGGTACGTATAATGTATATGCAAGGTATATTCATCGTTCCTTACTTAATAGAGGTCCTCCAAAGCAGGCTGAGATTGCCATTCGAGGAAAGCCTTGGCGAGCCACCGAAAGGTTTGAAATGAAGTCTCCAACAGAATTGCCCCACGCAAGCACAGTCATTCCCAAAAAGGCGTCCGATAATCCAAGCACAATTCCTACAGCCTGTTAGAAAGGCAGAGAATACAATTATCTGTATAGAATGGTCAAATTTTTTTAAATACACATTCTTACTGAAATGGCACAATAGTTCAGTAAACTTAGCCTGCCTCAACTACAAGCGACAATTTACCGAACGGTCTGCCTTTTTATAATAAGACACTTTTGTGTCAACACACTATTCTGTTGTTTGTGATTTGAATCTTGTGAGCTATAATCTTATTATTACTACATACTTGAGTTTGTATTATCGCGCGTTTGTATATAAACGCGAAAAAAAAAGTGTCGACAATCTCACAAAGGACTACATAATTTTGATTATATGAAGCTGAGGCGCTCGACTTCGCGCAAGCACTTTATAACAAATAAACCTATCTTATTACAACCCATTTTCATATATAAAAAAAAAAACTACGCTCATTTAAATTAGATATTCCACAAGGCACATTTAAGCCGAGTTATGTATATTATTTGGCTGTAGTTCAAGGTATCTTGAATCAAGACGTGCATCTGTGACACATTTTGCCTTTACTCAAAAACGTTGCTCCGGGGGAGCTGGACTACTGTATCAATAAAGTATCGACAACTGATTGGTTATCACTGCACATGCCTCCATCACCTAAATCACAATAGTCAGCTTCAAAGTAATTCATTCAGAGCAGATGAAAAAAAGAATAATTAAATATTTTAATAGGTTAACAGGATCATTGCCACAAGCTAGAGCAGGTTAACGACGAAACTTTAAAAAGGTAACGAGTTAGGTGACGCAGGGTAACTGCTATGGGACAATCGCTAACGCATACCCTAGCTATACTGATTTACATTAAGCTGGGTATGAAATCAGCAACAAATCAGATTAGCTGGCTCAATTAACGGTGAAACACGAGCGGATTAAAGCCCGCAGGTTGCTAGATTATTCTAAGATCGAGGATACTACCTACAAAGGAGTCGTACTTTTTCTGCCCTAAATAGAATATGCATGTCTCTATTATTGGTGAGGAAAGACTATTATAAGCAAAGACTACATTACCTTCAAAAGGGAAACCACCTCATTAGCCAGCATGTAGATCCAAAACACAGATACGATAAAACCCGCGAAGCCGAATGCAGCATGGTATGGTGGGGGTTTGTCATAGCATGAGGTAAACCATACCGCAAGAGCAATAACCATTCCCGCGGTACTAACGATCACGATAATAGGTACGTTTCCTACGTAAAATGTTAGGGCTATACAAAACAGAGAAGAATTTCTAAGTTTGAGGAGAAAAAAAAACCAAATAAGAATACTATCACAATTGTGCTAATGTTAGGCAGATCATTATACAATATTATAGTTTGTTTAATTGTATATACGGTATTCGTTGAAGGGTGGTCTGAATATTTCTGATTCAAAAGACACCTACATTTAAGATTGAACATCACCGCAATGGGAGCAGTCACGCAGTGTAATACATTAAGAATACGGCACCAGTTATTCTTATGATTATTCTCGTCAACGACAGGGACGGTAAGTGCCAAGATCACATATACCGGAGCCTGCAATGGAGCAGAAAATCTGTTGGAATAATATATTAAACCCAGCAAGCGCCGTTATAATTTTCGTTCTATTAAACAATCGCAAGTAATTTTCAATTGCTTTTAGAGAAAACATTTTTTCTGGTCTACAGGACGGGTAGTACTTCCTAGTTTTTGGAAAATTTAAGAAACAGCTAATATACAGCTCATACTTTGACATGTGAAAATATTTCACTGTCTGGAGGATCACGTGTGAATCTAGGTAACCCATGATTGCTTTTCTTTGTAGAGATATAAACAGACCGACTACCCATCGCTAAAGAAGAACTTACCTTGACGATCTGGAAGACTTTCCAGAACCAGTTTAATTCGTGCCAATTCTCCTTGTCTATCGGTGAAATTTGAGTCAAGAATTCCTCGAGAGGTGGAAGGTCCATAATCTATTAAATAAGTAGGAATCAATCCGATAATATTTAGATAAAAATAAATCGCTAACATAAAACATATTTAATATCACTAAAGTACATCTCTTGAGTTTTATGTCCACTATGGCCGTTAGACATTTTATCAAATGGCTGGCCTCCAACACAAAAAGGAGTGTGTTCACGAAGTTCTCTAATACCATGAAACCACTCTTACAAACTCTCCGGCATCGCTAAATCTAAACAGTTATGTAGCACATATACTAGAATAAGCTAAAGGTCATAGCAGTAATAATAATGAGTTTTGTAGGAAGATATAGACTTTCTGAACAAGAACTCTCATAATGTCATTCTGCAGCAAACAAAAAAAAGCAAAGAGGGTCGGGCTTGCGAAGAATCTTTCATTCCCCAATACAATAATTTTATGTACTACATTTATATAGGATGTGGGACACAGTTCTAAAATTGTATTGTGATGATCTGTGATACATTATAATGCAATATGACCCATTTATCCGCTACACAATTAAAAAAGAATAAGCAATAATTCAGGTCATAGGTTGGCGGTTGTAAAGCATGCTATACTAAACGTTGACTAAAGCAGTTATTCGAAAAGTCGCTTGCTACGTTCTTGCTACCTGTCAGATTAGTTTCTAACAGCTGTAGTGTGAATTTCAAAAAAAAAAACATGTTTGTCGCAATTGTCTTGGAAATAAAATAATTGCTACCAAGGACATATAAACTACCATCAAAATTTTTAAATGCTTAAAGCATCTTGAAAATTTCATTTTAATTAATCATGCCATTGTGCATAATGCTCATCTTTTCTTTGCGTTTTCACGTCTTACCAACTACATAGGTTATGATTAGTACATCATTGTAACAGGCTCATTAGCTGATCTTAATACATATGTAACTTCTGTCGATAAAGTACAGCTATTATTTAGTGAAAGATAATCGCTAGTGCTCTCAAAACAACCTAACGATAAGCCTACCATATATACAAATTAGGCTCGCTGAGAGCAAACTGATTTTTTTTTGTGTTAGATATTTTCATACGTTTGTCTTATGGATAGCAACATATCTATTATTTGGTTTTCCATATGTAATTTTTTTATTAATGGCTTCTTGAAGTTAATCGATAATGGAATATGCTTGCCCACAGTTGCCCTTTTTTGGGCATGAAAAGCCTCATAATCACCCAAATCTAGATTGAGAGAATAAGCAGGCTTAAGGTAACGCTGGATATTCCTTTGCTCAATCCAAGAACCCATTGAAACAGGGTGATGAGGTCTGGCGTACTCGTTAAGTCGATAGATTACGTGCTTTCAATTGCTATGTTTTCAATTCATAAATCTCTTGCGGAACTTGAGATAGCGGGTTGAATTCACTGCTTCATTTTCTGCAAATACTTTGTAATAGCAGGTGTCCCTGATGTCCACTGCAAGCGCTAAAATCACTTTAGGTTTAAACCTACTTGACACTGTCACAGAACTCGATTTCTCTCCAGAGCGACGCTATTATTTTGCCCGGTCTTCTTCAGACTCCGAACTACGCCTCATCTTTAGCAACCGTATACTCCAAGCAATACGCTGTTTTTCGAGTTTCGACATCTGATCACCCCTTCGCTGGCCTTCAAGACCCTAGTTTTCGTTCTTAAAATGATTCCGCCATTCACATACTATGCTTTCGTTTAAGGCATACTTTTCTATCTTTACGGATCATTAATAAAGGTCCGTGGCGCTGCGGCCATGGAGGAAGAAAAACTTGCTCACTGAGAGTTAGTTTTCAAGCCCAAAAGATCGTCTTTTCCTCTGAACTCATTTTCTTTGAAGTAAACGGTTTTCATTCACAACTTGAGACAGCTAACAAAGGCGCGCTATCGGTGGTCGAGTCGGGCCAAACTTTCACATTGACAAGTAATTTGATAATAGCGAACAAAGCCATATGATCAACGCTGAGACGGACGAATTCCTTCAATTATTTGTTAATAAATAAAACTTTTATTTTCTCAGATCTTACTGCTTTCTATTACAACTATTAGAAAGGAGTTTAAGGAAGCTACTATGCTGCGATGTGTTCATCTCAAAATATGAAGACGACAATACCTTAAGTCGTAATAAAAACTTTTAAGGTAGTTTGTTGATTACAAAGTACCCCAAATTAGCCCATCTTGAAAACTTGAAATTACTACTAAATTAGGTGTAAAAAAACAGATGCTATAGATTATTATAGACGCGGGAATTTTGAGCCACGATGCTAATCAATACGAGACCACTTGCTTGCGAGCAAACGTTAGAAGTCGAAACCTGTTCGAAGTTGGACCGTACTTTTACGTGGAAAATATATATCTTCTAAGCAATTATACTCGAAGCCCCCTAAAGAATGAACAACTAGCGTTAAATTACTTCCGAATTTAAAAAAAGCTATAGAAAACAAGCAGCTCCTGGAATTCGTTAATCTACTCTAATGAGCGGTACGATATTTTGTAGAAGAAAGCTTTACATGTGATTTGATTTAAACCGGGCCCGCTTTCTTGTTTTGAGAAAGCTTTGCCGTAGATTGGTGGAACAGACATTTGGTCTTCAAAGAGATATGCAAAATTTAAAAAAAATTAAAAATAATAATAATAAACAAAAGAAATTGTAACTTAAAATTTCTACATAAGATTAAACTAAAAAATAGCATATGAACTTCGATAGTACATTTGTAGTGCTCAATGGATATATTTTTTAAGGGCATAAAAAAAAGGAACGAATGTAAGGTCGACGCTTATACAAATGTGTGACTTTTTTTAGCCATTTACCTTGACTTTGGATTCAACTTCTTGTCTTGTTTCCTCCTGTTGAAAATTCTCATAGTTAGAACAAATATGGAGGGCCGTGTCTAAGGTCAACATCGTCGAGAGCGCGGCTGAGTTGATAATCAGTCCGCTACTCTGTGCATCGGTCTGTTCGAAGTCCACAAAGTGTGTTCCTATTGGCAGGTCCATAGAGTGGCCATTGAACGAAGAGCTAAGCTTCTGGTGCTCGTTCACTGCATTCAATAATGTATTCAACCAGAAAAATAGACATTCAATGCGTCATCCTCTACGCAGTACAAATGCTATACAATGTTTAGCGGGGTGGGAAATGGAACTCTAGATTGTAGAATTATGAAGAGACCTGCATCCTTGTGTTTCAGCCTCTCTTTGGCAACATACTGTGAATTCAACAGAGACTTGAGAACTCTTAACACAGCAAGCTATGCCGTTCATTCTAAATTCCAAGTTGACAATTACTACACATCAACTTATTTCTTGAAAAGCCCTTAAAACACGACATTCAACATTTTAGCAATAAGAGCACAAAAAAGAACAAACCAGAGGCTGCTGGTAATTTATGAACAGGATTTCTGAAAGTGCAACCGTTTCGATGAAACGAATTATGGCGTGGTCGCTGCTGCTGTTGATGAGGGTTAGCCTCATGGAGACAGCTATTATTTGTGCGACTTTTGTTTAGCCTTTCTTCGCAACCGAGGCTATTTCCTCGGAAGTGAAAGCCGGAACAAAGCGAATTTGCGCGTGAGTGATTCGGTGTTGGAAATCGAAAACGGTGTGAGTTCAGTTGTGATCGACTGCCAGATAAAGTCCGCCTACGCCGTCGCACATAACTATCTCGAAAACTTGACCCTGTGAAAGAACAGTGACAAATACAAAAGTATAGGAAAGATTTAAAATAAGTATTAGGTTTAGGGCTGGCAAAACTAGCTGAACTTTTTGAATAAACGAAACTATTTGCGCTAGAGATCGACATGCGTTTTTGAAGAAATGTTTATTGGTTTTTCATAATTTCAGCGCGTGTACTTCAGCCATGTTTTTCTCTAAACACACTGCACAAAATTCCGTCATTGTTTATATGAAGAGTAACATCGATGATATCCGATTTATATTATTTGACCTTCAATGTGCTACAGGATTGTGGAAGTACATAATTACAGTCTTGTGATGCAACCGTCCACTGCATGCATTTTTTTCGAGGATAACTAGTTAATCACATTTTTTATTTCTTCTCTTTTTAGAGGTTCTTAGAAGTCGAACGAAATAGTTTACGCAGGAAAACAGTCAATTCATTCGTGTAATTCGAAACTGGAAGAACCGCATAAATTAAAAAAAAATAAACTATATTTATGTGATGGAACAAATCAGAATCCTTAGCTTCTTCTAAGCTACTTTGGAAGAACATACTACTTCTTTACGTACTTTGTGTAAACGGAAACTCCTAGAAAGAGATTCATGGCTTGTGAAACGAAGAATGAGCTATCTATGATCTATTCTTCTGCGTGTGGGTTAGCAATGATCTCAGTAAGAGGATACGCCCTGAGGTATTCCGCAGGGTTATATATACATATATACACATAACACACACACACATATATATAGGTGTGCGTGTGTTATGTGAAATACCAAAGTAATTATTAACTCAGTTGGCTACCAACTATAAGTAGTCTATTCTTAAATGCTTTGTCACAAAGCGAATGTAACACATAATCTAAAATATGTAACCTACTTATATTAATAATAATGATATTATTTATGAATAATTATATTATTGGTATTTTAATGCAATACGTTGCAAAAGTAGTCAGAAAAAACCGCACTGCTCCGCGCATTGGATACAATGCTAGAAGTGGAATTTATTATGTAACGTCTTTTAGTTATGTGAGAGCGATGTGGGAATCATAAATTTGAATAACTATTCTGGTGCGAATCTAATTGGTTTTAAATATACAACCAGTTTTGCAATATCAGTAAACTCAAAAATCCCTAAGGAACACGTAATGAAAGCGCACTGCGACCGCAGTTTGACAGAACAGAACTTTAACCCTATGCTTTACTCATGCCCACTTATTAGTTGAAACCCTTTTAGATATCTATGCCTCTGGTTGTATACTGTCGTCTTAATTTCTACGCCAATCTGCAGTGTCAACGACCTTCTGGGTAGTGATAGGTTTAAAGGATGCAGTACGAATCTCATATATTTGATACTCCATTTGCTTTGATTTTTTTATTTTATTGATTGTATACTTCTTACAAGAGTAGGAGATGGAGATCTAAGACATTGCACTGATACCACAGGACTTTGGTAAACATTACTCTTTATGAAGCGGCGCTATCTAGATACTATGTTCAGAAATTTCCGGATCTCTAGTGTTGAAGCGCGCAGCAAGCATTGGAGAAAGAGTAATTGAACGCATTCACGTTCATAATTTATAAGAGTGTATTGCATACTCAACTTATCTATGGAGGTTTGTTACGGAGAACTTAGCCGTAAAGACATTATAAAACACAAGGGATTGCCGTATAGAACTTTTCAGCGTTTTTCTTATTTAGGGTACTTACTTAAACTTGAAAATCGCATTATTTAGTAAACTGCTTAACATCACGCATGTCATATTCGTATTCAGCTCTAAGTAATTTTACAAAAATAAGCTTGAGAACTATTATAATATGATCAAGAATAAAGCCGAAACCAATTTTCCAATTCCAGTAACAGCAATGAACCAATTATAGGTAAAAAAAAATTCCTCCAACGGATATCTTGTCATTATTGTTATTCTAACTAAAAATGTACGGTCTTTTTGATGCACTTTAAAAATAGAATTGGTTTACGGATCGGTAGCAGAAAACGCATACGCGATAGCCCTCGAAGAAACGTATGCCCAGTTTAGGCCTGGACTCATATGTATATATATATATATGTATAACGCCTCGGACGTAAACAAAGTAGTGTACCTGTCTATAGAGACCAATATGTATTACACTTAGACGCAATGGAGCAAAAGAGAAAATGCTGGCTTGCGCAGATACAAAGAGATACAGACCCAACCTTACCTAACTTTTACATATTGCCAAAGACAAACTTGAAAATAGCTTCAAATACTTTGTGGATGGCTTGGGAAAAGAACCAAATAGACGCAAGGAAGCAACAAGAAAACCCTGACAAATGATGATTTCAAAGTCGACTAACAGAATGTGGACGTAAACATACAAATGGGGGCGGCCGATCATTGACAAAGTGATTAGCGCAATACTGCATGACCCTCTTCAACAATGACCAGTCACCTGTGTTTGAATGAGGAGAGCAAGCCTTCCCACATACTCGCAGACCTCACATTCAAAATGATGAGACATTTGTGAAAGTAAGAAACGGAAACGTGCTGAAAAGAAAGAAAAATTTCCACAGCGAACGCACCTATATAAGCTTTGGGTACGGCAAAGAGCCACAAGAAAGACGGGAAAAACCCACTTGCCAAGCAGTATGGCTAGCAAGCAAATTAAACCTGGAAAAGCTCACGACCAAATAAGAATAAGGAGCCGGAAGCAGCTAGTTGTTGGGGAGCACATCACGTCGCAGTCGATGGTAGAGGCGCTGAAAACGGCATGTGACATGGCCTTTTCAACCAACAGATATCCGCCGATATACACCGTTCTTGTTTCTGATAGGTGCGAAAGAACGTGGTTCTCAGAAGGAGGTGACAATAGGGCATAACGAAGGTATACGAATACAAAAAAGTTACCGGTGTCGCTAAAAAATGATTAAAATATTAAATATTAAAAATAAAAAATGTACTTAAAATATTAAAGAATATTAAGTTCTTAAAAAGTTCAACTTAAGCTTTAGAAAGTAAAGAAAAGAAACGGAAAGAGCTGTGTGAGGTAACGAACTATGTCTGTGAAAAACACGATGAGGTCGTCATGGACACGCTGAGGAAGCCTCGACCCAGAAAGTTGATAAAAGGTGTCGAGGAAACTCTTCCATATTTATGCGGAGTTCTTCTGTTCTCTGAATAATATATAAGAAAAGACTTGCAAAAGTAATAGAGCACCTGCTGTAGAGCAGGGCCTTTTGCACTAGATAGAATGCTAGTCAGAGAGATGATTATTGTCTTGCAGAAGAAGAGCGAAGTCCTTAGGTTGACGACGCTTTAAGGCGAACGAAAAACCTCATCCTTTATAAGGAAATCAGAAAATAAAAAAAAAACCTCCTATCCTCGAAATGTAGTGACCAAAAAAGTTTCTTATGCGAATGCTTTAAAAGCCCTATCCAACTGGAAACTGATGATAAAACTTGGTTGAAACTATCGGACACTCATGGAGCTTACGAAAGGGCAGGTCCACAAAAATGTTCTCGAAGGAAATGGTGTAGGAAGCGGATAGGTAACGCTATGTGTACTGATGCCTCCGTAAATGCGAATTACCTTCAGCTCGCTAAACTGACAATCAACTTAGATGCTTAGAGAAGAGCTTCTTTGAATTTTCAAAGACTTAATTGTGTCCTATCTTGCCAGTAGGACAATATGTGCGGCCATATAAACTATAACGTAACAGGTGGCGTAGCCAAAGGTCTATATAAGGGCCACTGTTGTGGAATAGGGCTTACATATAGTTTAATTCATCCAGGTAGAAGGGATGCAAACAAATGCATACACAGACGATTTTACTAGAATAATCTCTGCGGAAGATTTCTGAAACAAAGTATGTTATGACAAAAAAAATTCGGCAGCTTTCAAAGCGTCAGCAACTAGGTCGAAGATGATGTCCTAACTCTGAGCTGAAAAACAGCGGAACAATTTTGATAACTAAAAACGACAAACACGAAGATATCTTCCTAACTCTGAACGGGGTGGAAATAAATATCAAAGAGTTTGCTCCGTATTTAGGAATCGGATGGAACGAAACAACTCGCCGAGGATGAAAAAGATAAGAGAGTACATGCAGAATATATATGCAGAAAGGCAGATTACAGATGTAGACTGAAATTTCTGAAGTACCTCCCTTCCGCTGAAGTTTGTTATTAGGTACAGATGAAACCTCTAGTGGAAATGAGATTATGAAAGAAAAACAGACGACTGATCTTTGGTGAGCGGAAACTTCACGTTTTTAGACAAATACTATACTTGTTACAGTTAGGGTTAGTGCACGAGGATTCTTAAAGTTGCTTTTTCCATAAAAAAAAAAATTGATTTCATTGGTTAAAAAGCAGTGACAACAACTAAACGAAATATAGCGGCGATGTAAATTGTTTGGTACCTTTTTCTGCTTTTTGATAAATTTTCCCGGCCATATTGTTTGTAAAAATTACATATGTAGCCTTTATTGTTGTGACATTTGGTAGCGAAGGACGTATAATTACATTAAAAAATCTCACTTAGAAGAAATCTATTGATTACAATACATTTGCGATTTTTACTGTCAGAGTACAAACTAATATTAGGAAAAATTATGTGCCTATGTTTGTACGAATAGTTATACGAATAATAGTTTTCGAAAAAGAAAAATCATTTTTAAGATGGTGTGATGGTGGTTCAGAAGCTTGACCCAGTTAGCCTATTTGGCAAGTGCACAAAATTTGAACGGAATTCTGAAATAACTCTTATTGTCCATAAAATTACGCCAAGAATCAATATATCACTACATGCAGTAATAAAGTATGCGCAGACACTCCTATATGATGAAGCAAAGCACTTTGCTTCACAATCGGTACTGTTAGGTTCCACATATCCCGTGGGCCCAACTTATTTCAGGATCTCATTCATGTCTTACGTGCATATGCTGCACTACTTCGACGTAAGAACCAAAATAGTCACAAAAAGAGGTTCACCAATTTCCATTACTATTTCAAAATTGGTAAGGGATAGTATATATGCTTATTTACGAGTTTAATAGGAAAAACTTTAATACATACTCCTTAGAATGACCCCAAGCAGTTCAGGATCATCCACAGGTGGTGTTTCATTATCCATGGACCTACCGATTTGAACTTGAGGAAAGTTAATGAAATTTTGTTAGTTATTATGGTAATATATCACGCTAATACATTCTAAATATAACGGAGGCCTTTCAGTTTTTTTTTCGAAGTCCATTATTTCATCATCGGACATCGAATATTATCAGACGAAACCTATTTTCATCGTTTCGCACACCACGCGTAAAAAAATCGACATTTCTATTTAGACATCATACGGTTTAGTTCTAGTCTCCAGTTTTCAAGAAGCGCTTTTCCACTCTGATATCAAGTAGGAAAATTCGTGTCGAGTTCTGACTGATACTTTGACTTCTTTATTAAAGTACAAATGATTTAAACAAAATTAAAATCAATGGATAAAATTGAACCGGCGGGATATTTATAATAAGCCTCTCCGCTTATAATACACTTATAATAGGACACTTACCTGGGTTGTCCGGCCTATCGAATTTTGAACCAAGTGAACCTGGTAGTTGGTCTCTAGATTGCTTGGTCTGCTGGTCAAGATTCAGCTTATGACGTTTGTAGAAAGTCGACGACGCAACAACGACGGCGATGTATATAAAGTACAGGAGGATAAAACCTGATGACGGCAACATAGAATACTAAATTTTCAGATAACTACCATGCAGGTCCACCGGCTGAAGTATTAGGGTATCCTCATAAAGAGCAGATGTTGCATGGTCATAGTACAATCATTTAACAGTAAAGCAAACATAGCTCAATGTTTTGAAATACGTATATAAACTTATACAACTTCCAATCTCAGTTATTAATTCCTTTTTATTATTAATTAATTCCTGCCATTAATAAAACATACGAACACCGGCATTACACAGTCGTTTTTCGTCGATGAAACCTCAGGTGAGTACCCTCTCAGTTGCTAATTTATATACTCGCTAAAAACTATTGGCGTTAGCAGAATCCTGCTTTCGATAAGTCCAGCGTATAAGCCTCTACTAGCATTGACGTAGTCCATACTATTCTTGAATGAAGCTTCGGGTTATCATAAAGTGAAGCTCAAAGAGCGAGACCTTAGGTTTAGTGGGGATTTTCGGCGGAATGAGGTCGAGCCGCCAGGGGCCAGTTTATATTACTCTACGATAAATAAACTTTTTTTCTTATGGGAAACCATTTGCGTAGCAAACACTTCCCCTCCTCTACAATATTAAAAAAAAAACTACACTAACAATGAATAAAAACCTTCTCTCACAATTGCACGCTTGTTTTTTAGATTTTATAAGGCATCCACTTAGAACTACATCAGATGATTGTAGTAAAAACATATATATGATACCTGACTTCGTTTTAGCCGGCATTCGGTTGGACTGTCCTAAAAATGATTTTATGGACATTTATGGTTGTTCAGTGAATTTTATGCCCTCAAAGCAATTACATCCTTCGTTCATAGCAGATATATTCATGGGAGCCAGAGAGTCCTCATTAATGTCAGCATATCCACGGAAGAGATCAGCAATGAAGTTCAACCGTAGTGCCTACGAGACGATACGGAACTTCTAGATTAACATACGTGTATCAGTTCCAAGATAACGTAGAGCACTAAAAAGGCGCTGACTTAAGAAGAGAACACATGGGTTAACCAAAAAGTGATACAAGCAGTATCAGAACGAAAAATGTGCCAGGAACATATAGAGATAGAATATTCAGAGAAGGCGTGCGAGTACGTAGTTTAGTGGATACCCAGATTGCTCTTATCATGGTTTTACGACTCCATCCCTTTTGAGGAGCGGAAAATCCTAAGGTCAGGCATTTACGCACTTGTGAAGGTTAGCTATTGCAGATCCCTTAAGGTTGGTGTCTCTGACCACGCAGACAGCTTCTGATTACAAAAAAAAATAACTAAAAGTTTTTATTAAACAAGTTTCTCAAAAGGAACAGTGAAAGCTATCCCAAATATTAAAGCATATGAGAAAATCCATAGAATGTGAAACAGGAGCACAACACCAATTAAGAAATGGCCTGAAAGGCATGAAATGTTCCATGAGGTGCTTAGGAGTAATAATATATGATTAGATCTCTTTTGTCAAACAAGTCAAAAAAACTGGAAAAGGCTGCGCCCAACATAGGATATGGATAGTAGGTAATGATAATAGAAAGCTGCCGACTCCGGTTGTCATACATGGCTTGCTTGTCTAGAAAGAGACAGTGATAAGGAAAAGGAACAAAGAATCCGATGCAAGTTTTACAACGGCTAACTATTGGTAACAGTGAGAATTTGCTGCGCTTATGCTTCTTATTTGCAGACCTAATCTCCTCCAAAGTATTACCGTGGCAATAAAAGATCTCGCAAGGCGATAACTGTAGACCAAGAGGAAGAAGATAAGGATTCACAAAGAAACCTCAACTAAGAAAAGATTCGATCGCTCACTGAAAATTATTGCTTTCAGAAAAATCTATATTCTTGTCAAGAAGGCGCACAACTCAACAAAAGCAAGAGCAAAGAGTAGATGATACACCTTAGCGGAACTTGGTTTAACCTCGCAACGTTTTTCCAAGAAGGGCAAACGATAAGAATAAGGGGGATACATTTTAAAGACCATGAAAGACATGCTAACACTGCTTTAAATATCAAGAAATTTCAGGGAAATTGTAACATGTGCTTTCCCAAGTGTTGGTAGTATGAGAAGCGCTTTTTAGTCAGGACCAAGTTTTAATACAAAAAAAGTGAGTGCCCGGAAGTTGGGTAACTACAGGAGTCACCCTATGGTGCGGATATTAGATGTGGAACTTGTGTAGGTTAAGCAATTCACCATTTATTGCTACGTGTGAAGAATATCTAGTTTTTAAATGACAAAAATCTAACAGTCGACATCGGGCATATAACCCAATAAATCCTACAATAGCAACAATCAACTTAAATCGCTAAAAACTGATGGTAAGTAACGTTCCTGGCAAAGACGAATGACGTGCGTATGCTAAACAGCTTCTTGGTAAGTGGAAACTTACTGCAGTCACGCTAATATATGTACCAAGCAAAGCAAATACAAATTGTTACAGCTGCGATGTCTAACTACAGCCATTGAGCTTCTAACGAAACAATATCATCGACCCTGTTATTCATATTTAACACATCGCTGAAGGAAAAGGGCTATATATAATAGTAACCCCTTTGGGATAATAGGAATCTGTAGCAATGCAAATCATTGCGTAATAAGCTGCACCATTGTATCTCCAGCTGCAGCGAAAAGAATCAAATGATCCGTATTATTGGATTTCTGTAAAAGTTAATGCAAATTAAAAATCAATATGATACGTCATAAGAGGTGTTTTGTCAAGTATAACGTTGAAGTCCAAAACATATTATAAAACGTGTCTATGTCTTGATCTTCGAAAAAAAAATATTATTTTAGCGCGATATAAGCAAGGGATGACAAGTAAAAAAAATGGGTTATACCAACGTAGTACGTAGTAACCAATTTGGCTTTATAATTTAGAAAATTTAAAAACATTTCTAGTTTAATTGCTAGTTCGAATTAGTAGAAGTAACTGTGCTGTTGTATGGTCACTAGTTTCAAATGGGCAATGCTATTAAGGTACAACCGCATTAAAAATTATAAACCAGTGCAAGAGAGAGGTATACAAGCTCCAAATCGTCACGTGGTGTATATCATTAACACAGAAGAGCTATTATTAGGCTGGCGAAATAGGTGAAGTAGGCAAACAAAGAGAAATTATTTGTGTAAAGTTGAGACCCAAACGAAGTTATAGCTGTGCCGTATTGCAGGTAATTTGACGCGAGCACACTTAACCGGCAAGCTACAGAAGCCTGCTATTTCTGCTAAACAAAGGCTTTGGGGTAGGAATTTAGCAAAAGATTATTAGTTAGCAGAATTTGTAGCCATATTTAGGGGCTTTAGTTAGGTTTTCTGTTTATTATTTTTATGTAAACAAATCTTCAGAACCATCTCCTTTTAGATTTAGCACAAAGGACGTGCCCTATCAGGAGTTTGATCAGGTGAGCGGATCTTGCTAGACTTACCTGGGGTTTCTCCAACAGGTACATTAAACGGAATGGCAGCTATAAAAGCAGTTATTAATTTTAATAATGATGGTTCATTTCCCTAAACTCCTCATTTTCCTAATTATAAATATTTAGTAGTCATTTTTACGCCGTCGAGATTTGAATCAATGTGACAACGCTTTTAAGTTTCGGTTACCATGGCAACGCACTCAGAAAGATCCCTCAGACCACGCTGCCCTCAAGAATCACAAAATTCTTTATCTAAATTATTACAAAGTTTGCACTCTTTTTGGAATTATAGCCTGAATCCTAAAAAAGAAATGTCAGCATGATCAAGACGATTTCAAAGGTCGTCTACGGTACACCTAGCGAATGGAAATCCTGCATGTTAGCATGCCTGGGAACAAAAGAGGAATGGCGTAGCAAAAGGCAATACATTAAGGGATATACGCTTTAAAATTTGGGGATAGGTTTAAAAGAATCTGTCAACCTATAGTAAGTATCGTTCAAATATACATACACCTGGTAACCAAAGTTGCCAAAAAAAGGATGGAGCAAACGTTCTGCGATTTCAATGTAACACATGTGCTAAGATGTTCATAGCACGTTACGGCATACACGGAAAAAATCTATGCCGTGTATATATATGATGATATTCTCTACTTCCTAGACGACTATCATATTTGTAAGAATTGAATAGAGAAATAGGTCGATCTTATAAAATGAAATATTGTTAAAGGGAAATAGAGGCTAATAAAAAAAAACATCAGTGAGTCCGAAAGTGAAGGATAAGCAGAGAAAGCAAAGAACGGGAGTATAAGCAAGTTTTTACCATAGTATGGTTAATGGTATGCTAATGTTTATTATGTACCAGATACGTAAACGGTGTCTGAGCAGAAATTTCATTCTGCTTTCTTTTCATACAGCGAGCAAAAAACAAAATAAGCCCCACATGCACAAGTAATCATTCCATATCCTAAATTAAACAATCGATTAATATATTTTTTTATAAGCCTGCTTTTTCTCTAACCGGGGACCCATGCATCTGTTTTCTCCTAATGACGGGATGTCCTGTCATAAACTACAATGGAGATCCTCGACAAAGCAAACGTCATGTAATTAATTTCATGGGACTCTATTTGCGGAAGCGGTAAAAAATAAACGTAAATGAAGCTAAGACTAAATTGAAATACCGCTACTACTACTACTACTACTAATGATAATAATAATAATAAACATCAGTTTTTTCCTCCACCCTTGTTCTTCAAATTCATCCGATTTTGCATCCAACTTGTTTCGTTTGGCGTGTATTACTACTAAGTCTTATTGGAATATACATAAAAAAAAATCTAAAGTTACGCGTGAGAGATAAGCTATTCGAAGCATTGCAAGATAGAAATTAACAAACGGTATTCAATATACAAGTGGAACAAAGCTGAATTATAAGTATGTTCATTCGAATGTATAAACGATGTACAGTGTGCTAGTTTAAACGATCATTTTGAAATCTTTTCTTGTAGTTCGTATTGATGAGCTACAGTAAATACACTTCTTTAGTGATATTCAAGAAGTCTGATATATGGCAGCAGAAAATAGATTGTAGAAGTACTAATAGAAGTTATCGCTTTGCGCCCTTAAGATCGAAGGTCGCCGCTTGATAGCTGATTTAAGGTCCATAACAAAAAATAAAAAATATATAGTTTAATCCTGTTTCTATTATCTTAAGATGACTACAGTTTACTGGCATATGTTCAGTCGTACGTATTCATTATTAATTTCAGAATGAGTTTCATAGCACAAGGCTGTATGTGTGCCTACCGATCGAGTAGAATAATAATATTTGGCCTTTGTAGAACATGCAGAACGCCCAATACGTGGCTCCAATGTAGAATATGGCGTCTCTCAAAAAGGGCCTTTCCGTGATCTTGAAGTTTTGGGCTAAACAAATGCTTCCAGTCACTGCGCATGTTACAAAAATTCCTAGTAAAAAGCAAATTAGCAACAGTCAATTAAACTCAGTTAACGACATAACAAGTTAATTGTTGTGTCATCTCATTTCCAGTACCACACTGGACTGTGTTTTTGTAGAAAACGTTTACATCTTTATAAAATAAAATCTACCTTAGGAAGCTCCTATGGATCGATTCGGCTAAGAACATTATATCTTATCTCTCTAGCCACTTTCATGAAATAATGATGAAATAAGGATTAATTTAGTTTGAAGGCTAAAATAAAATCTGTCACAACTGAAAAGAAGTGCCTTCAAGTTAGGCTTGTTTGTGCGCAAAAACTAAAATGAACTAACCAGCTCCGAAGAGTTCACCAATAACTAATTCCGGTCTGGCTGACTGTACACCAGCTAAAGATGAGATGATATCTGGAGCTCCATTTCCAAATGCTAGAAAAGTCACACCCTGACCGGTGCGAAAAAATGTATAATTTTCTTAAGAATTGTGAGAGTATGATACCTATTATAGGCATAATGCTTTTACTATTTAATTGTTATTAAGCAATATCACATTTAAAATAATGTGATAAAAATCTGATATAGCGAGTTTTAAAATAAACTCGCTATAAGAGTCAGGTAATTTAGTTTGTAATAAAAGAATAAAAGAAACTAGCCTGCAAATCTATTCTTGCTTCTCTCAGAAGAAGTTTCACCCGTAAACAGAAACATATAGTTCTTATCAAACTTAACTTACTGCGTTTTTCCACCATTTCGTTACCATTGTCTCCATCACCATTTTAACGCTTGCCATGCATACATATATATCGCTTATTTTGTTGTAATAAGCCCATAGCTTCTGCTTGGCTAAACGGCCTCCATAATAAAATCTCATTCGCCTCGTTTATACTTTATGGCGACCGCTTAGGGTTCGAATATTTTTAAGCATATTAATATTTATCAAAAGCAACATGTTCTTCTAAAGTATGCGGGAGTGTCTTAGAAGAACAGCTAAAAATAACATTTTCCAAAAAAAACATGCTCGATGATCTGAAATCGATTATGGTTTCGTTCTAATGCAAGCCATAGTTGTACAAAAAAGAGTAAAACTGAAGCACCTTATTATCTAGTAATTTCCAACAGTGCAAACTCGGCACAAATCCGCTGGTGTTGCTGGTCATATTTTCCAGTGCCATCAAGTTTTGCATACCATTGGATTCCGGATGTTGAGAACAGAAAGCTTAGGGAAGAGGAAATGGTACCAAAGGTTTTTTCAGACAGCTCTCATAGCTCTCGGACGGTAGAAAAGCACGGCGAAGGCCGAATACCAATTTATCAGGGACTGAACTGTTACTCGACGAGCAGAAATTCAAGATTGATCTCTACACAGGATTCTTTAGCAACTCCAGCAGAACCAGCCAGTTGACACCAACAAATGTAAATGCGCTTATGTTATCTAGGTCTATTTTTGCTTTGAGTTTGCCATGTTTGGATACACTGTTAAACTGATTGACTTGGTAGTAGCAAGACGAACGGGATCGAAGCATGTCAAATCGTTTCCTTATAATATAGCACATTTTTCGTTAAAACGAATATTCACTTAGACGAAAAACATCTTCAGTTGTTCATAATATCTATTTGGTTAAAAAGTCAACCTCAATTTTTATGTCTAGAATGTACAGACAAATGTATTGGTAAACCTGTATGGCGAGTCATATGGAATAGACAAACGAGGGACACAGTTTTAGTTTTGATGGACAAATTCTGCAAAAGAAAGTATCCGTTGTTGGATTTCAAATACTCTGCGAGTTGGGTTAGCTAGTCACAAAGGAAATTAGATACGAACTTCCGTACCAAAAAAAGCTGCGCAAGATGTAATTCTAACAGTTTTTAGTTTTTTAATGCAATGAGAGTGTTCTCATAAAATTGTCTATTAGTAATGATCGTTCTAATTTTTTTGACAGGAATATTGTAGAGGCGAGACGATTTTCTCATCAAAAAATCGCACAACGAATTTGTTTTCCTAAAGTAGAACGCTAAAACTCCAAAATATACTGTACCAATATATTATCTTTAGATAAGTACTAACGTAGTATACAATTAACATAATCTATTAGTGAAAAAAATTAAATATGCTTTGTCAGCTAATTATAAAAATGTATTAGCAACAGTGTACAAGTTTAAGGGTTGAGCGGATATTACTTCAGCTATTAGACTGTTATCGTTTGCTAAACTGAACCGAATTTATCCACTGAAGATCTAAAGAGACTTCGGTAGGTTTTCATATAATACTTTTATATTTAAGAGTATAAACTTAAACGGCTTACATCGTGTCAAAGATACGCTACTATCAACAGGATAAAGTATAAGACAGCTGCTTTATGGCACGGATAGAAAGATCTAAATACAGCTGACGTCGAAAGACAAATAAAAATAAACTATTTCTCTTAGTCAGCCTTTGAACTCCATGAAACAGCTACAAGACTAAAAGCAGTTATTTTCTATATGTGTAGCTCAGAGGGTTTACAATGAGATTCTCTTGCGGTTTTCCTGTTCGTTAATTTAAGAACTGGAATCGTTGACACTATATTCAGATCAACTTAAACCATGTAATAATTTCTACTCGGGCAGAGTCAGCCACAGTTATCCAGCTGCATTTATTATATAGCCGCGGAAGTTGGTCGCCTTGGTAAATTCATTATATTAATCCAGTAGCAAATTTCATTGTTGTTGATTTAAATTTCCAGTAACTTTACTGCAATTATTCTTTTACCTAATGCAGTTGTCCTAATATATAAGCCTGTAATTTAACTTGTAAATGTTAATCAAGTTACTTCAAATTGTAGCTTATTAAGACTCCACATTTAAGCGGCGTTTTAGCTTAACACTTACACTCAACTTAAACTAAAATATAGCTTGGGCGCGTACCTTCCCGATTACTGATATGCTATTATAACTGTCCAGTTACCCTCTTGCCGCTTTCCCGTTCTCCTATCAGAATTGCTCGCTACTTGAATTACATTACTGCAATGATTCCATTAATTTTTCATGAACTATTCATTTTTTATTCCACGGGACCTGTTATTTAAAGTTTGTAAAAACTAAAAATCAGTAAAAGCTCACGCCATCATGTAGTATTTACCGGTTCCTGTTTTGTCTGTGTATGATTGACTGATTTGCTTCATTGATCCAACGTAACCCAAAGTCATCGCTATAGAAAAATATCGCTATAGACCACATGATCATTGTATGTTAAAGTTACTTCTCTTACCCCTCTGCAGATATGCTATTATTTTGTTTGAATTGCCGTGTCCTGACGACAATATGGCGGAGACACGAAAATTCGAGCCTTTAGGGCTAATTTTTACTGGAAGTCAAACTTTGCTTAAAATAACATTTTAGCTATTCAACAACTGAAATAAGTCTTTACTTTTCATGATCGCTTCCCATTCCTTCTTTCGCCTATAATAAATTTAATTCATAAACGTAATCCACACTATACATAGCAGCCATAACATTGAGAGCTCAAACAAGGACACTCATTGTTTGTATGGAGAAGAACGCTATTTAATTTAATGTTAACTTCCTTATCTTGCTAGAATAAAGGTCAATACAGATAAGCTGTTATATATGAATGTAATAAAACTTGATATTGGTATGAAATTCATTTTAATGTCGAAGCAATTGCAATATGCTCAGAAATAAGACACACAACCGACTATCTATTAACAGATATTTATGTACAAAGAGCTGCAAGAATACTTACGGCGATATTTTGTGAGAGTCGAAGAGTGTTTGATATTGCAATCAAAGCTGGCGTTAGACTAAAATGTTGCAAATATGGACGCAAAAATCCGTTAGTATTAATTAAACACAATAAAGATTATAATATTATCACTAATTATTCATATATATATATATATATATATATATATATATATGATGTTTACTTGATATTTTTATAAGCAAAGAGCATTTGGACTTGAATAAGAATCACCAGATTTCTAGAATCACTTTGATAACGCTATTTATGGTAAATAGTGTTCAAAAACGAACTGACATACTCACAAATCATCGGCTGTAACGCCAAGACCGATAAATAGGATAGCGATCCATAGGATCTGCAAAAAAAGATTTTAGTTAGACCTACAAGCCTCGGCTATTACGCCTCGTTACTAATACCAGTGTGCGTTTACAATGGATAAAACTATAAATTATTGAAATAGTTAGAGGTACGATTAACGACGTGAACCTAAATCACTTTTAATCTGAAATGATTAGATTAATGAAAAAGGTAATCTTATGGTATAAACACTAATGAAAATTTCAGTTAACCAGGAATCGCAGCAGAATGTGCATTTTGAGATTAACATTTGTTTAATACGGTTAGTATTGATGTGTCTGAATGTACGTGAGTCTCAGTGGTATCTAAGTACAATTTTGTTAGCATGACTGCCTATGGTTGCTGTGACGTATAAATTAGGCAATATATAATGGGTGATTTAATGCCCTAGCGTGACGTTGCAAACATACACATAACGATCCATGAGTCATGAGTTACGGGCTAGTGGTCAACTTCTATGCCGTAAAATTAAAGAGCTTGTCAATGTTAATGCTTATAACAATATATGGATGCTATATGTGTACGTGCACGAACCTGTAGTGAAATTTTAGCTATTTGAACAAAAAAGCAGCCAAATTTTGATTTGATCGCGTATGTTAAACCTTAGATACTGTAGAGATCTGGTAGGGTTTCTGATGGAAGACAGATTTTGAGCCGCATCTGACCTATATAGTTCTGTATTGGTTTAGATTTGTCTATATCACTATACAAAGCTCTGCCACAAATGTTTGACAAATACGGCTACCGTGACTCATTACAAAATTATGATTCATTTTCTACTCAATTTAGGGATGCGCAGACATCTTTACTATTGTTAATCAAAGTATAATGGCCTTTATGAATGTTTTTGAATCTCGCTTTTGTAAGATGTTATCGTCTGATTTGAAGCTAGTACGGTAGGAAGAATGAAAGACAGACCTATAATATATACATATATATATCATTCAACAAGAAGACATCAACGAGTGATTTTAATATCGAAATCATGCGAGTTTGTGCATGAGCTGATTACCTTCGCAACGCGACCACAATAGAGCGTGTGCAGCATTTTCTTGGGTACGAAAACATGTGAAGGCGTTTCTTTTAGACCATAATGCTGAAATACTGTTGTTATGCTCGAATGCTGAGCATAAGGCGCGTGTCACAACTGCGTACTTTTATTAAATTCCTTCATCGATTCTGTTCTGATAGGTCAGGGTTGAAAATTTTAACAAGCCGTATAACTTCAATGAGTACTTTTAGTTAGAAGAGGTGACGTTAAAAATTTTGGCTTCCCGTTAATACTCCAACAACGTTTAATTTAATTTTTTAGGTAGAGCTTACCAAAAGAAGAAGTGCAGGCACCACTTCTCCTGATCCGAATCCACAGTAAACAAAAGTTGAATACTGGATGTAGTTCTCATCCTCGTGGCACTCTTCAGTGTTTTTAATAAACTCACATTGGAGATGATGGGAATAATTATGCACCAACTCGCACTGAAATTGTTAAACTTCCACTTAGCTAAAAATTAAAACGCAGCTCAAGCGATATAACAATATCTTGCCTAAAAGAAAGTAAACGTTTTCATAAAATGGATACATTTATTAATAATTGATAAAGGCACATAACAGAAGTTAAATGACAGAATTAGTGAATATATGTCCATTTGTTATGGTTGAAAAACATTTTGTTACTACACTCAGTCGTAGAGAACCATAAATGTGTTGTAGTTCATGTTGAAACCTTTTAAGTGGTGTGGGAGGCGTTATTCTTATAGACGGTCCGTTAGATCTGCTTGCATCTTATAGAACTCTTACTCAAAGCTTATATCAAACACAACGTTCAATATTTTTACAACAGCCGTGAAAATAGCTCATGATTCTATACACCTGGCCTTTCAATGAACTTCGTTGAGCAACGGCACTATAGCTCAGTATTTAATAAATGTTCGTCAATCAAGGCGCTCTTGTGGCTGTAAAGGCAGATGCTCAAATGAAGATTCGCTTTATTTTCTAAAGAACTGCCTTTTCACGTGAAATATTTTTTGGAATATCGTACCGTAAAAGATAACATTTGGAGATACAAAAATGCTTACTTTGATTGACCTGATAAATTTAACGGCAGTCTGTATGGTTTAGCAGCCTAGAGTTTTTAAATGCTGAAGTAAAAGCCAGATTTCCAATGAGAAAAGCCGCTTTGCAGATGGAAATTGTAGTTGAAAAAAAATGTAAACTCGCGTAATTTCGTCAAGTTAATTAAAAACCTCGTGGAGAATTTTGTAACGACCTTTAAAACCAGTTCATACTGCTCCAGTATTCGGTTAGTTTAGGCAAAAAGTTATGATGCGGAAGAATTTGGAAAATCACGTTAAGCGGTGATCTTTTTTTTATTTACATTTTATAAAATGCATACTATATACACTCTAAAAAAAATAATCTCTTCAAAAAACAAGAATTTTGAAACGAGGCTATCGCTATCTATTTCTTCTGATACTCATTTAGTCGGAATGTAGTGATGAGATTTCATAGATTTATTGGTGCTTAACTTATCTTGGAAGACCCGCGCTTCATTTTTCCTGTACAAATTTTAGCAGTTCGCAATTTAAAACCACCGGTTGTAATCTTGGACGGAAATGGGACGCAGCTGCGGGGAATTTCCAATAGACCGCAGCACGTAAAATCGGCTTGAAGGTTATTAGTGGAGAATTATTAACAGAATAAAATGCATTTACTACTTCTTCATTGATCATGTTACCTTTTTCAGTCAACTACATTAATTCTTGGTTCAGACAGCTTGAGTTTTTCGCCTGCGAACCTTATAACATCAATGTCAGAGTAATTTCTTCGATTCTTTCTAGCTCTTTCCTGGCATGCAAGCAAAATATCAAAGAAAGATTTACATACGATTTTCATTAGGGCTATTTCACAGAGGTCACCCCGTTTTATTCGTTGAAGTAATGAAGTGAGAAGTTAGCAAATAATTTTTAATAGTTTGTAATAAATTATAAATAAAATCTTTTATATTTAAATTAATTTAGATAATATTAAATTAGATTTAATTATTAATTATTTAATTAAGTTAGATTTTATTTATTATATTGATTGAATTTATTTCATCAAAGTGATGTGCTTTAGCCACACTTCATATGGTATCAACTTCACTGCACTAACTAAGCCCTATATGACATAGTTTAACACATAAATATAGGCAAAGCCCCATGTAAAGAGTCATTCTGGCTTCTTGTATACCACATCTAATCGTAGACTCGATTAAAATTATATAGGAAAATATGTCATTTAAAGTAGTTTGTTAAAGCTTGTCCTAAAAATACTCAATGTTAGTTTTTTACACAAGTTTTTTTAAAATATATTCGATACCGTATATAATAGTTTAGTATATTTCGCAAGCATATGTATATCAGATTCATTAGGACAGAAACTTGGCGACTTGTCAAGGCATTTGGATAACGCAAAATATTAGTCATAAGAACGATCAGATTGATGGTAGGCGCTTGATTCTTTATTTAGCACCACATGGGACCAGCAATCAATGTACTATATTTTAAAAAAGCTTATCAACATAACGAGGATCGTTTGGTACTGGTTATCATTTGCTGCAACTTATGGCTGCTCTGAAGGGCACAGTTTACCAGTACCGCTGGGCTCACTTAATGGGAACACGGTTGTTAATGTTTTCACGTCGAATCACCTATCAAGACTCACTATAGAGGACTTGATCGCTGTTAAAAGCAGATCGCAAATCGTTAGGGACAACAACAACAACAACCGTCGCTTGAGAGGGAATTATGACAGATACCGTATTTTGATATTTAAGGGAGTTAAATTCCCTGTGAAGTTGCTAAAGCAAGCGCAAAGGGTCCATTACTGGTAAAGAGCCTGGGCTGCAAAAAGAGGATCGTTAAAGCCAAATTGTGGATTTAGTTGTCCATCCTTTAGCTAAGCTATAAAACTAATACTAGAATTAGTTGTATATATACATGAGGTTTTGGCTATGATCTAAGAGATCTGAGGTATATCCAAATTCAGATATTAGAACTTCAAGAAGCCTACGAGCCTCCACCCGCAGAGGACGTGCCTTTTGTTTCGACTCAAATTTTTTTGTAATCCGCTCTTGACGGAGCTTGCAACTCAAATATATTGACGTGTCGGTCCCGCTTAACTTTAGCATTAATTTGATTAACCTTTTTTGTGATTGATCGACCACTATGAAGAGCATCTCTTACATTAAATCCCCAGAGCAAGAGCGACAGAGCCATTTTTAGGTTCTTTTTTCCGACGGTGGTCCTTGACCAACAAACAACGCAAAATCTTTGTCGGCCTGGGCGGAATTTAAACACTTATCATTATAAAATATCGCGAATTTTTGCAGAAATTTCGTTCATCGTCAAAACGTCCTGTCTTAAGTTTCAATGACAGCATTCCAAAAATTTAGCACATCCATTACAATCCGGTCCCAACTTTCAACCGAGGTTGACCCGATGCAACTCATATTAACTGAGATACGGAACCTTCATTCCAATTCATCGTCGATCATACAGGAGTTTTAAGAAAATGAAAATGTTAATGTGAATCCACAAGAAATTGCCATATATGATGCTTAAACTGTCACCTCACTCCAACAATAAATCAAAGTTCCCCAATAAATAGCGCGTGTCGATTGTATTAGAAAACCATTTGAATCGCACTATTACATTACACAAACACCACTATCTTAAATAACGCCTAGGTGGTTTCAAGTCCTTACGCGTCTTACGCGCAAGCCGTCACCGTCTAAAAATTGTCAAACTAAGTTTACTTGACTTTGGTATGTATGAAGCACACAAAGTTATTTTGTCTGAATATCTGAATTGAAGTATCATGGAAACAAATAGCACAGTGTTGCTAAATTATGCTACTAAATACAAATATACAAAAAACTATGGTAAAAAAACTATGGCGACAAAATTTCAGTATATGGACATTGTTTTTTAGAAGTGTTTAGCAAAGAAAAATAGGATCGATTCTCCCCATTATTTAAAAATCTTTATACACTTTGGGTTCTCAGTAATTGTGTCCATTTTAGCTGACGCCTATTATCACACGTAGATCATCTGAAGAGTGAAAGAACCAAAACTCTAGGTCAACACATTTACTTAGGTACTTAGCTTGAAATATTTGGTGTAGTATTCACTATTGCGTGGATTGCAGTAAATCGGAGTGGGTCATTAATACAAGCACATTGTTAGCAATATTTGCGATTATGCGCTCATTATATATTATTTTACCTATTTAATATAACATCTGTATTCTTACCCCGATACGGAAAATCCACATGGATGTAGCTGTTCTAGCTTGCTTCCATTAACGGTTTGCTAGCTTGTATCAAATTGAGCTTGAGCAACAATTCGCGTGCTTAGACTTTTCAGACTTATATAGTCTATTTCCACCAATTGTCGTTTTCCGGCATGGGCAAATGTTTTCTACTACCTTAAAGCTATGCTTCTATATTGTGTCCCTGTTTTCTACACATTCACATAAGAAGTAGACGAACATTGTAAAAATTTAATAGCAAGGTTTAAAACAATTTTCGTTTTAGACGAAATATATATGAACTTCACTAATCAAATATTGACTAACTTTGGACATTTCGATAGCGCCATATTGATTGAACTTCGTTAGTACACTAAATATAGCTTCCCGTAGAAAAGATTGTACGAAACAATTTTGAGACGATACGTTGGCACAAACCATGTGCTAAGCAAACTTCTGTTATACTAAAACGACGTAAACCCTCTTCTAAGCATGAGCTCCACGATTCGCGCAATCGTCGCAGCACTGCAGATAGTTACGTCACATCTTCAAAACACCTTCTTTCAATTTTGTGATTGCAGTTATGATTTACTCTTATTCCTTATTTTCGTAGTGTCGCTATAACTTTAGCTTAGTTTCCGCCTCTCAGGACCAAGTGGAGCATATGCTGGCAAATGATGCCTACATATAGTGCGAAGCACGGCGCAACTTTCTTTAGCAAAGGTGTACACTAAGCTATCATACTATGAAGTTCGTGTCGGTGGATAGAACCTCTGATCTTGTTGCTTTCCATAAGGGAAATGATCATATACCACGCTTCTGAATCAGCCAAGAGGAAATATCTATTCGGGTGATACGCACAGGCACGTTTCCACATTGAAAGTTCACCTGTCGACGTGGCAATGCCGTTCGAAAACCTATTGCACCACAAGGCGATCAGTCATTCCCACCCGCTATCGCGAGCCCAAATGCAGTCCGCTGTGCTCCGAAAACGCACGCTACTTCATACCGAGCGCAGACTAACGTCAATATTTGCTTCTGTTTTGTGACAGACGTCACTTAATAGGCAGTCACAGTCAATTGCTAGACCCACTCGCTCCAGGTGATGTAGCAGTTGTGTGTGAATGGTAACAATTAAAGTAAATCCTATGACCATTTCACAAAAAAACAGCGGCGTTTGATGATTTTTTTTCTCTCCGATTAGAATTCTCGAACTTGAAGCTGATAACTCGTAAATTAAGAGACTATCGCGCTCTTTTGGTGAGACGTCTGCTGTCATTACTATATCATTGAATTATACATATTGAATTACCCAAGTTCGCCTGAGTGATGGTTTTGTGATTGTTGAGAAATAATGTACTCTGATATCCTAATGATAATATTTGTGGAATCACGACCCGATAAATTATAGCTTTGGCAAACAGATAGGGTGGTTATTTCCTTTTGCCAAAAAAATAAAAATACACCTTTGGCAAAAAAGACATTTTTTCTTTGATTCCCCGGTTACGCTTGTTTTTTATGAAGGCCAAAGTCCTTAAATATGAGCGTTGACGCATTTCAGTACTGACCACCAAACACATCACCCCTGATGTTTAAAACTACTGGTCATTCTGTTTGTACTGCTTTCTTTTATTGACGTTATTTACAAAAAAAAAAAACCAGCTACACAAAGAAAGGAGCTATGTTATGATGAATAGCCTAATTAACGCTTGGAATATATGATGTAGCACGGATGTCTCTAAAAACAATTTGGTTTTTGAGTTTCGATCATCTATAAAAAGGACGCTCTGCACTCGATTCCTATGTTGTGCTTGTCTATTTTTGAGTCAAAGTTCTCAAAATGTAACCATTAATGTATGTGTCATATCTTGTTACCCCCCATTGATTAACTCCGGATGCTGTAATTTACCGATTGTTCGCACAATTTATATCGGAAGAATTCGATCGAATGTGTTGGTTCTAGTGTAACATATAACAGCCAATAAAACTTCAATAATGTCAAGGCTTTGCGACAAAATTAATATTTTAAGCCTACTACACACCATGCCGTGTTGTTCAAATCACATGTAGATAAGCCCTAGATTACGAACTGCTTATTGCCAGGAAAATTCAATTCTACTATTGTAAAGTGATCTTGCGAGGAGCATCTACTTGCGTATCTCACCATCTCTTTCATCGCACCTAAAAGCTGGTTTTTATGACTGAAGTGGATGTATTAATGTGCTTATTTATCTTAAAACCAGAAGAGCCGGTTGAACTCGTTCTTAGAAAACTCGATAAATATTAGGAAACATTTGAATTTTTGTGTTAGAAAGAAGGACGCTGTTGAGAAATTGAGATTGTCAAATCCTGGAAGATGATGGTAAATCACTTTTACCACTGTAAACAGCAGTATTAATTTTTCATTTCATTCATATTCGTTTAAGGTTTCAAATTTCAATGTAGTTTTCGGATTCGATGTAACCATTCAATTCAAATAATTCTCAGACTTGGTCCACAAGAAAATAATTTTATTTTATTTTTTAAACTTATGAAATTTTTGCGGATAGATTGTTCATAAAGTGCATGTCCAATATCTACATGACCTAAAACTCTTTACATTTCTTCTGAAATTATATTTCGCACTATGTGCAAGCGCTATATGCTAAAAATGCTCCAAAATAGTTCCCCACTAATAACGCCTAAGTGTCCTGAAAAGGCCAGCTGTGGATTGACGGTCAAGAACGTAATTTGATAGAAGATATGCATCACATTAATAAAGTTATTTACAATGATCGTATTTTGCGTATGCTTTTTGACATATTGAACCCCCTTCGAAGGAGGATAATTGTTAGGTTGGGCTATTTCTTCTAGCTTAGAGTACTAACTGTATGCGGACGAAACATCCTGAATTACTTTCTCCTTTTTTTTTGCATTAAAAAAATGTTGTATAAGAGGCGTGCCGAATACTGTTTTTTTGTCCTTAATAAATGTTGTTACGCCCGATACCGCCGTTGGTCGCTGCTTTAGATAGTTGCCTTTCTACATATCTATCTCTAAAGATCAATGTAAGTGTGATTTCGTGACCTGGATAGAAAGGCGACAATCGCCTCTGCAAAAGACAGTAGTACATAACGAAAGTATCAACAAAAAGTTTCTTGACAGAAGCAAAAAAATACACCAACCAGATATATATATATATATATATATGACCCAAAAGTTAGGCTTAAAATGGCCACTGTTACAATAGGAACTCACGTCCTTAGAAATAACTAATTTATTTTTTGGATTACAAAATTGAATGACATATTTGCTATATTTATAAATCATTTCATTAGATTTACCATATACCATCTCATATTACTGTCTACATGACTCTCATAATTATTTTTTTTAATTTAATCATTTAAGTAATGTTTATAGTGGCAGACATAGTAACGACTGACTGAATTCATCTACATTATCCATCGTATAATATAGTACTGTACATTGCTCATATAAATATATGGATAAACTTATTGTAATGATTTCTAATTTGAGATAGCTGCAAAAAATTGCTATAAAAGTACAGGATTTTATCGTCCGAAACTTATGTTTTTAGTGTGTGCTTATTCTCAACTCCGCCTTACATGGGAAGCCTCGTTTTTTGTACATTTGAAGGTTCGTCGATGATTTAGACAGCGCAAAAAATACCGATAAACCCACAATGAAGGTTAAAACAACGCTTACAGCATATGGGTTTATGTGCCACAAGCAATATATTGCTGAAAATTGCATTTTAGTCTATGAGTAATAATGAACTTCCAGAAAATCCGCAGTTAGTCGTAATAGTTGTAGGTTTCGATTGTAGTGTATAAAGTTGCCCACAATTGACAAAATATGTTTGTGTCATGTCTGCCTTTAGAAGAGGAATAACCAATAATTTAGAGAAGGAACAACCAATAATGAAAGTGTAAAGCTGTCGAATCAGTTCTCGCGGTTATTATAATTCGTATCTGCTACTTATTAGTATCTGCTATGTTACGTAATATTTAAAAGCTTTTCCTTTATTTTACAAATCCGTTGCCATACTTGTAAGTATCAAAGTTCTACTTCAAGTGTAGCATTAATTTAACCGTTTTTAGAGAAGCGCCAATATCAATAACTGATTGAACAAAACAACATGCCAAATATTCGAGAAAATATTAAATATAAATTAAAAACTGACAAAAAAAGAACATAAATAATTACAAGGGGTTGAGACTGAGTAATCAAAAAAATGTGCTGAGTTCAAACAACCTGAAAAAAAGCAATTTTTGTTTTTGAGGCCGAAAATCCCTTTGTGCTTCTCCAAAATCTATGAACCGTCGGATTTTAAACCCCTTTTCAGTCCAGTAACCTTTTTTCACTTTTATTTAATATTTTCACAATTCTTTGAATAAAAACATCTTTCATTTTAAGAAATGGCGAAACTGGATCTTTAAAACCAGTTCACTCACTGCAGAGTTCAAATTTCGCTAACTAAACAAAATGATGCCAAACGACCTGTATGACAAAGGAAGGAGTTTTAATAGAAAACAACAGATTTTATGTCTTAACTTGTATTTAATACGAAATTATAATATTTGTAATTCTAAATACACATATGTAAAATATGTGCGAAACGCCAGCGGCGTTATGCTTAGATACGTACGTCGATAATAGAAGAGACACTGAAATTTTTCCGATGTATTCGAGCTTTTTATATGTGTTTCTTACTCCAATGGTAGCTTATAAACTCAGTAATTATTAATACATTGTACTTTGACAAGCAGCAGATTATTATTAATGAGAAAAGGAAGCCGCTTAAACAAACCAAGAGAGCAAATTTGACGTTGTAAGAATAAGTCATAAGGATTCATGCATAGCAAGCACGTAATAGTTAATTTTTAATTCGTGAACTAAAAGGTTGCCATAAATCACCTATTTGGACCCCATTTTAAACACTTAAACTAGAGTAAATCCCTTATGGATTGCTTATTACTTTGGAAATCTGAGTATATGGTACTAACACAGAACGCAAAATATAAACATACTTATCGCATGTCAGATGCGTAACACATTGGTTGACTTATGTTTCTAATGAAAAATATTCCAACGTTTTTAATTCACGCGTTCATAAAGCTTGAGCGGGATATATCATATTACTATAACCTAGCTCTAATAAATATCTTTTTGGGTGGACCCAATGGACTATACAATGAACAAGGCATTTCTTTGGAATACTTCCTCTGTGTAAGCTTTACTTAATGTGTTAAAAATATGTATTTGACAAAAAATATTGGTAGCACACTTTTACCGACTAATACCTGTATGTACGAATTTTCTAATGTCAGTAAAAAGTGCAACTGACAATAATAATAAATTTTAATGAAATGTAATACTTGCGCGTACCGCAATGTGAAATATATTTGCGTTGAACGGATTAGCACTTTGAAGTTCGTACATATTTCCTTCTTCAAATACGAAAGAAAGCAGCAGCTGTTATAACTATATCGAGGGCACAAGGAAAAGCACGATCATGTAGTAGGCGACCTTGATAACTTTAAATTGATAGCGAAAAACTTGAGTAACAGAAAAGTTCTCACTTTTTGTGACACCAAGCTAGGCTTAATAGGAAGCCGCCCGTTCCTCGCTATACACTAGAACCGAGGACAACTAGCAAGAGCAGAGAAAATTCTATGTGCCACTGTGGAGGCTTTCGATAGCTAAAATTGCAGTTATTTTCTCACCAGTTCCCAGGAGATGCATGCCGGGAACCTATAGAGTTGTACGCGGCCTGAAGCGAGCAATAGCCCTGCGAAAGGAAAAATTATCATGTTACATTGGAGGATATAAAACTGTAAGGGCCACTTGGGAATCCCCCCTTAGGAATTGAGTACTACCGGATTATGGGAACAGCCATTTTAAAGACAGTTAGTAATGGAATTAATACCTGGGTAATAGATACGTAGTGAAAGACAGAGGGAGTAAATAGAAAAAGCTAACCTTAAAAGTAACTAGCCCACGTGGATTTGCCGAAATTTGCAATGACAGTGTAAGCCAAAGTTAACAGCGGCCGTAACGCAAATGCTGAACGACTTTTCGCGAAGAGACTGCTTTAACGTGGCCTACGAAGGTAACATATTTGCTGGCTGTCAATCACAGGAGCGGAAGCTACATTCGTTGAAATTGGTATTGAGTAACGATTACAAGTCACACTATACAAGATCGAGGCAATGTGACGACACCTAATAAATAATAGTAAATAAAAAACCACGTAAATTATATGTCTAAAAATGGAAAAACTTCGATAAGTGTGGATACCCTATTATGTGAAAAGGATAATGCCAAATGTAGGCTTAAGTTTTAGTTAGTGACATTATCAAACAATCAAGTATCATGTGCCAGGGAGAAGATGCTAATATGAATATGCGCCATTAATTACTTTTTATTATATTATAATTACAGTTAACGCGAAGTGAGGAAAACGGACCTTCCAAAAAGATCTATTTCCACATATTACAAGTGAAATAGATAGGTATTAAAAGTTCATCACAAAAAAACAAGAGTTAAGGCTAAGGACCATAAAACGAGGTACTGCGCATATAGCTGATAGTGGAGCCACTCCGTTGTTTCTCAACGATTCAAGGAAGACATTAGTTTAAAAAATGAACACAACTTCATTATCGATGTTTACCCATATGGTTCAAAACTTGGGACTTGCTTATTCAGTTTTCGTGCTCAAAATGCTCCCAACAATTTAAAAAAAAATAGGGTTTGTTGGGTTAGCTAACTATCTCTTTTGCATTTTTGCGTGTCCTACAGCGATATTTCTCGAAACATGTATACACGTACATTGAAATAAACTGGTATAGAAGCTTGGTATTATAATAAATAATTTTTAATCATTTAGGACGTAGGGTTAAGCTCGATACAGCTTATCGTAACTTGGTGGTAGAGTTGTGGGGTTAACGAAAGCATACGTCGCTTCCGCGCAATACAGGATTGAGGGCATCGGTTTGAGGGCACCAAATTAGAAAAGTGGATCAGGCAAATAGAGCATAGGTAACACGAGAAAAAATGCCTAAGAACGAAATAGTGCAGAAAATCAGAAGCTACCTTTAGGAGGCTGCGCTAGAAATAATAGAAACCTGTACAAGACATGTATTTAAGGAGAAACTGGGGCACCTTTTTCCGGAGGAGAAACTCAAGTCACTCGGGCAGTTCTTCAACCTCGTTAAAACCGGAAGAAACGCTTGGTAACTTCATATGAACCTAACCAGCATTGTTTGACAGAACGGAACTAAAGCTTCTAGTAAGCATACTATGACGACGAGTTTTTTTTGCCAGTTTCATTACAGTAACACGGCTTAATTTGTATGCAAAGTTCATCTGCCAAATCTGGGACTACTTGCCGGAAAGTCCCGACACGTTGAACAATTTTCATGATGGACTTGATGAGAACGTGAGGCGGCTATCAAGGATATACTACTTATATCTTACCGCACAGAGCCTCAAAAATGATTTTAGCTCAAGTTATTTTCGTCCGATTCCAAGTCCGATGCGGTACCATTTTAGAACCAAAATTCTTTGATGGGAGGCCACTTGTACTGTTGTCGGTGCGACCAAAGTACAAGTACGACAACAGTACATCATACAATGATCTTACGAGTCGCCTTCGCAAAGTGCGTTCAAACAAGGTTGAAAAATTGACATGCTTATGTGTGAAAAAGGTATCTTTTGTTGCTTCGATACACAGAGATGGCATTTAATGCTTCTGCGGCAGACCAGGTCATTGATGTTCATAAGCCTTTACCAAATAAATTTGCGAATTATTGCGAAGAAATCTTCGGAAATTACGCCATTTACCCGCAAACCACGTGCTTTAATGAAGCTAAATCATTTCAAACACTCATATAAGTAGCCACCAACTACCAGTTCAAAACGAGCAAGGATTCTGTTGTACACGAGCTCCCAGAACGGCAACATACGAAGACGCCTACGTGCCCGACGTGTGAGTCTGCCAAAAGACGGCCCTCCACTCAGGAGGTTCGTAACAGTTCCCTAAGTTATCCACTTGAACTGCATTGTCCAAACAGTTCGGATCGGCCGACAGACTCACGTCGAGTAGACGCGTGGTCAAACAAGTCGTTTCCGAATTGAAACAGGAAAGCATTAAGTCAACAGAGCGAGATATGAAAAGGCGGTGGCCGCGGGATAGGCGTATCATGCCGGATGGACCTGGCCGGGTGAAATGGAAATTGATATAAATACTTGTTATTACAATAAACGGTTTTTTAGTATTTAAGGAATAGCGTAAAACTGGACAGCGCCAGTATTTCAAACAAAAGCTATTATTTTCTACAATCCATATGAAATATGAGCTAAGGTCTTTTGATACGAAAATCTTTCATATAAAATTTAATTGAACTTATAATTCAGCATGGAAATAAACCAGAAAGCACGTAGTTAGATTGACAAATAGTTTCTAACTGTGTATATTCTTCTGGCCTTAACGTCTCCCTCGTTGTATTAAAGCGTAAAGTTGTTCTTTGCGAGTGAACATTGACAAAAGGTTAACATGTTAAAGTAATTGAACCAGCTAGTTTGTCAGTGAAAATTGTTATGTTACTATAGAAAAAAAAAAAGAAAAAAGATACATTGATTGGTGCTGGGAAGACAGAATAAGCTATAGCGGAAATAGCAAACCTGTTGGATAGGCAACAGCAAATCTATCTCTAGCGGCTCGGGAAGTGGAACCTTGAGATTACCGCCCTCTTAATAGCTCAAGAAGCGTCACGCGCTATTGCTGTAAGATAGAGAGGGAAGAAAGTCAGCACACGTCGGAATGCTTATAAGTAGAAATTCCCAGATCGATTGAAGCTTTTGGGATTCAGGTTTTCCACTATTCTGTACTTATGTCGAACGGCCGGAACTATGCAGTAGGTAAACATAGTGAGCCAAGATTGGAGTTTACGGTATGTAGTTCTTGTAATCTCACAGGTCTTGCGCATTAGCTTTTTCATTACTCGTAATGTTATCTGCCAATAACATCGAACAACCCTGTGTGGGCCATCTGATCTACGCCAATGGCAACACGTTAGTGTGGAAAGTTAAGGTGCCCATAATATCTCACTTAATAGGCACTACCATGCCTCCGTTATATTTAATTAATAACGCTGGGTATCCGCTCTATGCCTTTCGATAATAATCAGGTATCTTGTAACTACCAATAACTTTGATTATTCGTAATATGAAAGCTATCAATGAATAAACAATTAGTTCAATCAATGAATGAAAAGTCATGTATATCACTTAATGCAACGTAACAAAACTCACGGGGTTTTTGACATAAAGACATGGAATAAACGATGCGTTTAAATAAGAACGTAATGGAATCTCAGCGAGTTGACGAAAACTTTAACTTTTGTGATTCAATTGATCTAATTTCGAGGTTGGTTTAAAGAGAAAATAAACCTGTACTTTTCCACCTTTCCACTTTAACGTCCCCACCTTACTAGAAAATGTTACCAAATATTTAAAAAAAAAGTTTAACGAACAGTATAATGGACGCAACACTGAGGATTGGCTATAGCTTCCATTAGCAAAATCAGTTTAAGCTTTAAAAAAAAGCAGTTTAAGTTTAAAAAATTTCATACTTATCTTAGGTTGTACATGGAGTTCGTTGTGGTTGGCCAAGTATTTATTATTCATTGTTCGATTACAAGAATTAAAACAATAATTCAGGAACGTACAACTAGCTCTACCTAAGGACCTCTGTGGTAATCAAGCGACAACGTGGATGATATTACCTCACCATAAAGCCCAAACCCGGTGACTTCTTATAAAGCTTCCATAGGAAAGCAATCACAGGCCATTTTTTCAAATATGATTTGCACGTAGACTAAAACCAACTAGATCTGTCAGGTTTCTTCGAAACCATGTTAAACGCGCCTGCCTGGTATTCTTACCCATGTTGTTTGTAATTACCAGTTTTGCTTTTCTCTTTGTTCTGCTGCTCTGCATAGAAGCGGAAATGCCGCACTTTTCACGATCAGCAAGAGCCAACAAAGTCTGCCTTTCGCGTTCAATCAGAAGCCAATGAGGCAGGTGCGCACTGAGATCATTTGATCAATTGAAGGTATGCATGACACCTTTTATACTAGAGACCTCGAACCATGCAGGACCTGGCTCCTTTAAATGAATTAAATAATAGCAGAGCTAAAATGACAATTCGAAACGTTCAGGGCTAGCATCAACTACTCTGATGAACGGCATAGGAAGCTGGCTGTACAGCCGCCTTCCCAGATTTGGAATATATGTATATGTAAGCTAAACGCTGCACACGTTTTTCTATCCATAACTGTCAATTGATAACATTATAATAGTTAACTGAAGTTATTAAAAAGCGTTGAAACAATTGCTTACATAATACTTCTTCATTGCGGTTAGCTTCAATTCTTCTTCGAATCTCGAGTTGTTTTTTTTCACCTACACCTTAGTGAGAGAAATATTGTGCTCAAATATGGTAATGATTGATATATCCCTTGCTACTTCAAATCCTCTGCGCGAGTCTAAGTCATTCACTATTCGTAAACCGAGACCTGTTTTATGCTATGCTCAGGCCTCTTGTAATGATTGTCTGGCGTTCGTCGTCCACTTCGTGGGTGCATCTCGTCAGTCTTTTGGGCAATTCAAATTTGTCTTCTAGCGGCGTCGCG